AGTCCCAGACCACACGAAGACAACAACAATCCTAGACCACACCAACACAACAACAGTCCCAGACCACACCAAGACAACAACAACAATCCCAGACCACACCAACACAACAACAACAACAGTCCCAGACCACACCACGACAACAACAACAACAGTCCTAGACCACACCACGACAACAACAACAACAATCCCAGACCACACCAAGACAACAACAACAGTCCCAGACCACACCACGACAACAACAACAACAGTCCCAGACCACACCAACACAACAACAACAGTCCCAGACCACAACAAGACAACAACAGTCCCAGACCACACCAAGTCAACAACAACAATCCTAGACCACACCAACACAACAACAACAGTCCCAGACCACACTAAGACAACACCAGTACCAGACCACACCAACACAACAACAATAACAGTCCCAGACTACACCAAGACAACAACAACAACAGTCCCAGACCACACCACGACAACAACAACAACAGTCCCAGACCACACCAACACAACAACAGTCCCAGACCACACCAAGACAACAATAACAGTCCTAGACCACACCAACACAACAACAACAGTACCAGACCACACCAAGACAACAACAACAATAACAACAGTCCCAGACCACACCAACAACAGTCCCAGACCACAACAAGACAACAACAGTCCCAGACCACACCAAGACAACAACAGTCCCAGACTACACCAAGACAACAACAGCCCCAGACCACACCAACACAACAACAACAGCCCCAGACCACACCAACACAACAACAACAGCCCCAGACCACACCAACACAACAACAACAGCCCCAGACCACACCAAGACAACAACAACAGTCCTAGACCACACCAACACAACAACAGTCCCAGACTACACCAACAACAACAACAACAGTCCCAGACCACACCAAGACAACAACAGTCCTAGACCACACCAAGAAAACAACAACAACAGTCCCAGACCACATCAAGACAACAACAACAACAATCCTAGACCACACCAACACAACAACAACAGTCCCAGACCACACCAACACAACAACAACAGTCCCATACCACAACAACACAACAACAACAGTCCCAGACCACAACAACAACAACAGTCCCAGACCACAACAACACAACAACAGTCCCAGACCACACGAAGACAACAACAATCCTAGACCACACCAACACAACAACAACAACAGTCCCAGACCACACCAAGACAACAACAACAATCCCAGACCACACCAAGAAAACAACAACAACAACAATCCTAGACCACACCAACACAACAACAGTCCCAGACCACACTAAGACAACAACAGTACCAGACCACACCAACACAACAACAACAGTCCCAGACCACACCACGACAACAACAACAACAGTCCTAGACCACACCACGACAACAACAACAATCCCAGACCACACCAAGACAACAACAACAGTCCCAGACCACACCAACACAACAACAACAGTCCCAGACCACACCAACACAACAGCCCCAGACCTCAACAACAGTCCCAGACCATACCAAGACAACAACAGCCCCAGACCACACCAAGACAACAACAGTCCCAGACCACACCAACACAACAACAGTCCCAGGCCACACCAACACAACAACAACAGTCCCAGACCACACCAACACAACAACAGTCCCATACCACAACAACACAACAACAGTCCCAGACCACAACAACAACAACAGTCCCAGACCACAACAACACAACAACAGTCCCAGACCACACGAAGACAACAACAATCCTAGACCACACCAACACAACAACAACAGTCCCAGACCACACCAAGACAACAACAACAACAATCCCAGACCACACCAAGAAAACAACAACAACAACAACAATCCTAGACCACACCAACACAACAACAGTCCCAGACCACACTAAGACAACAACAGTACCAGACCACACCAACACAACAACAACAGTCCCAGACCACACCACGACAACAACAACAACAGTCCTAGACCACACCACGACAACAACAACAACAATCCCAGACCACACCAAGACAACAACAACAGTCCCAGACCACACCACGACAACAACAACAACAGTCCCAGACCACACCAACACAACAACAACAACAGTCCCAGACCACAACAAGACAACAACAGTCCCAGACCACACCAAGTCAACAACAACAATCCTAGACCACACCAACACAACAACAACAGTCCCAGACCACACTAAGACAACACCAGTACCAGACCACACCAACACAACAACAATAACAGTCCCAGACTACACCAAGACAACAACAACAACAACAGTCCCAGACCACACCACGACAACAACAACAACAGTCCCAGACCACACCAACACAACAACAGTCCCAGACCACACCAAGACAACAATAACAGTCCTAGACCACACCAACACAACAACAACAGTACCAGACCACACCAAGACAACAACAACAATAACAACAGTCCCAGACCACACCAACAACAGTCCCAGACCACAACAAGACAACAACAGTCCCAGACCACACCAAGACAACAACAGTCCCAGACTACACCAAGACAACAACAGCCCCAGACCACACCAACACAACAACAACAGCCCCAGACCACACCAACACAACAACAACAGTCCCAGACCACACCAAGACAACAACAACAGCCCCAGACCACACCAACACAACAACAACAGCCCCAGACCACACCAACACAACAACAACAGCCCCAGACCACACCAAGACAACAACAACAGTCCTAGACCACACCAACACAACAACAGTCCCAGACTACACCAACAACAACAACAACAGTCCCAGACCACACCAAGACAACAACAGTCCTAGACCACACCAAGACAACAACAACAGTCCCAGACCACATCAAGACAACAACAACAACAATCCTAGACCACACCAACACAACAACAACAGCCCCAGACCACACCAAGACAACAACAACAGTCCCAGGCCACAACAACAGCCCCAGACCACACCAACACAACAACAACAGTCCCAGACCACAACAACACAACAACAGTCCCAGACCACACGAAGACAACAACAACAGTCCTAGACCACACCAACACAACAACAACAGCCCCAGACCACACCAACACACCAACAACAGTCCCAGACCACAACAACACAACAACAGTCCCAGACCACACAAAGACAACAACAACAGTCCTAGACCACACCAACACAACAACAACAACAGTCCCAGACAACACCAACACAACAACAGTCCTAGACCACACCAACACAACAACAACAACAGTCCCAGACCACACCAACACAACAACAACAGTCCCAGACCACAACAACACAACAGTCCCAGACCACAACAACACAACAGTCCCAGACCACACCAACACAACAGTCCCAGACCACAACAACACAACAGTCCCAGACCACAACAACACAACAGTCCCAGACCACACCAACACAACAACAACAGTCCCAGACCACAACAACACAACAGTCCCAGGCCACAACAACAGTCCCAGACCACACAAAGACAACAACAGTCCCAGACCACAACAACACAACAACAGTCCCAGACCACAACAACAGTCCCAGACCACAACAACACAACAACAATAACAGTCCCAGACCACAACAACACAACAACAACAGTCCCAGACAACAACAACAGTCCCAGACCACACCAACACAACAACAACAGTCCCTCAATTCCATTGCACAAGGAAATTAACGACAAGATTCTTTGGCTGCCACTGTAAACGCCCACGTGACGATGGTGGTGTATAAAGCCACGTGGTTGAGCCGTCGTTGGCGATGGCCCAGTCGCCTCTGATGAAGAGCCACGTGACTCAGCCGGCATGTCGCCTGCTAGAATCAAACGTAGCGAAGTTTAATCGATTGTTTGTCTGTCGCTGCTCGCTATTCAGTTGAGATTTCATTGTCTCTCACCAGTAACTCTCTCTGTCTGGACTCTCTTATTCATGGGCTCTGAAGAAGGGCCCTTGCCCGAAACGTCGCCTATTGTATATTTGCCCTTTTAAGGCACGGCAACACTCACGTGTTGGGTTTTAACGCTAATTGTGTCGGTGTCTCTCCTGTGCGCGATGACGTCACGCCGCTCATCGTGTATTCTGTGCGTGATGACGTCACACCCCCATAGTGTATTCTGAGCATGATGACGTCACGCCCACAGCTTGTCTCCTGTGCGCGATGACGTCACTGCCGCCTAATCGTGTTTTCTTCCCGTGATGACGTCACGGAACCCCATCGTGTCTTGTGCGTGATGACGTCACGGCGCCCGTCGTGTATTCTGTGCGTGATGACGTCACAACCCAATTGTGTCTTCTGTGGATGATGACGTCATATCCCCTTTTGTGTCCACTGTGCATGATGACGTCACGAGCCCGCTTGTGTCTACTGTGTGTGATGACGTCAGGGATTCTCCTGTGTCTACTGTGCGTGATGACGTCACGGGCCCTCTTGTGTCTACTGTGCGTGATGACGTCGCGGCTCCCTGAATCTTCCAAAGTATTGAACAAATGACGTCACGCGATTTGGACGATTTTTGACCCCCCCCTTCGTCACACGGCGTCACAAAAAGTCAGACCCCCCTCAAATATGACGTCACAAAGCTCTGCCCCCCCCCCCAAATAAAACATGCTTCAAATGGCTTTAAACTATTGTCATTGTAGTGCGTATTTAATGTGGCGCTGCACTCTGATGTTGTAGGAGAACACATTTATTAAGAAGTCTATTTAATTAAGTAGAACGTGTTGTCTATATTTATTTAAAGTTGCGCATTTTGGTGTGACGTCACATTTCTCAAACACCCCCCCTCTGACCCCCCCCCTAGATGCGTGACGTCATTTATGTACGTCCCCTTTACCGAAAGAACCAAACAGAATGCCCTCCTTTTGTTTATAAATGAAAAATACGTCAGCGTGCGTGATGACGTCACGGGCTCGGCACGAGAACGGGCTATCGTGCGTGATGACGTCACCAGTTTCGTTGGCAACGCTGAGCCCCTCCCCCCCGCTGTGCGCGGTGACGTCGGGCGGTTGGCGTGATTGCGTCACGCGTGTTGACGCTCATCTCGGGAAGTCGCCTCCATTGTTTGCTTGCCCAGCGGCGTCTCCCCGTTTCCGTACTGACTCGCAAGAGACGACACAGAGACAGAGACACAGACAGAGAGACAGAGACACAGACGTGTGAGTTACACTCGCGGCATCGCGCGCAAAAAAAAAACAACAACAACCCCATAACGCTTCCGTCCTGGCGCTGTTTGGATTATATTCGGGATTCCCCCGGGCTCTACGGGCCTCGCATGGATTCTCACCCAGCAGCCTGAGATAGGCCTCGGGCGGAGCGCCACTCTGGTGGTGGGGGGGGGTGTCACGTTGCGTGTCCGTGTGTTGTGTGTGTGTGTCCGTGTGTGTTGTGTGTCCGTGTATTGTGTGTGTGTTGTGTGTCTGTGTGTTGTGTGTCGGGGTTGTGTGTCCGTGTGTTGTGTGTCTGTCCGTGTGTTGTGTGTCTGTCCGTGTGTTGTGTGTCAACCTAGGGCCTCCCCTAGGTCGACACACAACGACTCAGGTCGACACACAACGACTCAGCCTCAAATGAGTACCTGGTGCGGTGTGTAAACATCGCCACTGGGGAGACAAAGGCGGTCGGGCGTGGTGCTGGCCACCCACCCCCTCGTGTGCCGTTCCGGCCTTTATAGGTGCTCGCTAACAGCACTTGCCCCTACAGTCTGTTACAGGCTATACGGGGGATCTTTGTGTGTCGGGGTTGTGTGTCTGTCCATGTGTTGTGTGTCTGTCCGTGTGTTGTGTCTGTGTGTTGTGTGTCCGGGTTGTGTGTCTGTCCGTGTGTTGTGTCTGTGTGTTGTGTGTCCGTGTGTTGTGTCTGTCCGTGTGTTGCGTTGTGTCGGGGTTGTGTCCGTGTGTTGTGTGTCTGTCTGTGTGTTGTGTCCGGGTTGTGTTGCGTGTCCGTGTGTTGTGTCCGTGTGCTGTGTGTCTGTCCGTGTGTTGTGTGTCCGTGTGTTGTGTCCGTGTGTTGTGTCCGTGTGTCGCGTTGTGTCCGTGTGTTGCGTGTCCGAGTCTGGTTGTGTCGTGGTGGTTGTTGTTGTTGATGTGGTTGCGTGATGTCAACAATGTGTGTAGGGTGTGTTTTGTTCGCCGGTTCTTGTTTGTCGGGTTGTGACCGACGATTTGAGCTTGTGGTAGTGTTTGACTGGACATCTGTGACTGGACATCTGTGAATGTCGCCGCTAGGGAGACAAAGGCGGCCGGGCGGAGTGCTGGACACCCCCACCCCCTCGTGTGGGGTGTCGGCCTTAATGGGTGCTCGCTAACAGCACTTGCCCCAGCAGGCTATTGCAGGCTATACGGGGGGTCTTTGTTGCTATAATTTAACCTTTATAGAACATACCACACACGCGTGTAGCGCCCGAAACCTCCTGGGCTCTGATTTATGTTTTAGAGATTCAAGTTCCAGATGTTTCAAGTTGATTTGATCTAACCAGATGAACCCGCGAGACCAGTATGAGCCTCATTTTTGAAGATTGAGTCGTGAGTGAGTGGGTTAGTGAGCGAGTTAGTGGGCGAGTGAGTGAGACAATGGGGGAGTGAGTGGGTAATTGAGTGAACGGGTGAGTGAGTTAGTGGACGAGTGAGTGGGTTTGTGGGTCAAGTAAGTGGGTGAGTGAGTGAGACAATTGGTGACTGGGTAATTGAGTGAATGGGTGAGTGAGTGAGTTGGTGGACGAGTGAGTGGGTTTGTGGATCAAGAAAGTGGGTGAGTGAGTAAGTGAGACAATAGGTGAGTGAGTGGGTAATTGAGTGAATGGGTGAGTTGGTGGACGAGTGAGAGGGTTTGTGGATCGAGTAAGTGGGTGAGAATGGGTGAGTGAGTTAGTGGACGAGTGAGTGGGTGTGTGGATCGAGTAAGTGGGTAAGTGAGAATTGGTGAGTGAGTGGGTAATTGAGTGAATGGGTGAGTTGGTGGACGAGTGAGTGGGTTTGTGGATCGAGTAAGTGGGTGAGTGAGTGAGACAATTGGTGAGTGAATGGGTGAGTGAGTTGGTGGATGAGCGAGTGGGTTTGTGGATCGAGTAAGTGGGTGAGTGAGTAAGTGAGACAATTGGTGAGTGAGTGAATGGGTGAGTGAGTTGGTGGATGAGCGAGTGAGTAAGTGAGTTAATGGGTGAGTGAGTGAATGGGTGAGTGAGTTGGTGGATGAGCGAGTGAGTGAGTGCGTGAGTTAAAGTTGATCTCGTGTAACCAGGTAACAACTCAATAGAGAGCAGGATAGGAGTCTCATTTGCAAGATGATGTTGATGCTGGTGTTGTCGATGGTATTGATGATGGTGTTGATGATGGTGTTGATGGTATTGCCGATGGTGTTGATGATGGTGTTGATGGTGTTGATGGTGTTGATGGTGTTGATGGTATTGATGATGGTGTTGATGGTATTGATGGTGTTGATGATGGTGTTGATGATGGTGTTGATCCTGGTGTTGATGCTGGTGTAGATGGTGTTGATGGTATTGATGATGGTGTTGATGGTGTTGTTACCGATGGTGTTACCGATGGTGTTGAATCTGCCAGTGATCTCTGTCATTCAACCCACGACACCAGGGTCTGTCCCGTGGCCTCCTGCCAGCAGCGACCCTTCCACACTTCACGCGTGGCCTCAAAGGGCACGTGTCCTGGCACAAGCGTCGTGGTGACGTTACCGCCACTTGGTGGCGAATGGCGGTTGTTGTTGTTGTTGTTGATGACGACGTTGCTCATGATGTTGTGGTTTCAGAATGGCCGGGTTTCTGGATCACGTGCGCTGGCCCGAGTGCGAATGCATCGATTGGAGCGAGAAGAGAAATGCCATCGCCTCCGTGGCTGCGGGCGTGCTGGTGATCACGAACACACAAGCACATCCACCGTTGCCGCAATCACTATGGGCGTGCAACCTCGTTTAGCGCGATGCAGGGACTCCTCTAATTACGAATGAGTTAGGTTCCAGAGGTCTGTTGTTAGTAAGTCCAAACTTTACTCCTGATGATTCCAAAACGTGCTGTACGGAGTGTACACTAAGCACGGGGAATGGCTTCAGAAGTTGTATCATCTCCTGCAGATGTGAATGCAACTGAACTTCTTTCGCACTACGTAGACAATCGTGCTAATCCGAGGTGCGAGGGATGGACAACAACCGATGGGTCTCTGTGTGAACTTATGGGTCTCTGTGTGAACTTATGGGTCTCTGTGTGAGTCTACAAGTCTCTGTGTGAGTCTATGGGTCTCTGTGTGAGTCTACAAGGCTCTGTGTGAGTCTATGAGTCTCTGTGTGAGTCTATGGGTCTCTGTGTGAGTCTATGGGTCTCTGTGTGAGTCTATGGGTCTCTGTGTGAGTCTATGGGTCTCTGTGTGAACTTATGGGTCTCTGTGTGAGTCTACAAGTCTCTGTGTGAGTCTATGGGTCTCTGTGTGAGTCGATGGGTCTCTGTGTGAGTCTACAAGTCTCTGTGTGAGTCTACAAGTCTCTGTGTGAGCCTGTGGGTATTTGTGTGAGTCTATGGGTCTCTGTGAACTTATGGGTCTCTGTGTGAACTTATGGGTCTCTGTGTGAGTCTACAAGTCTCTGTGTGAGTCTATGGGTCTTTGTGTGAGTCTATGGGTCTCTGTGTGAACTTAAGGGTCTCTGTGTGAGTCTATGGGTCTTTGTGTGAGTCTATGGGTCTCTGTGTGAGTACGGGTCTTTGTGTGAGTCTATGGGTCTTTGTGTGAGTCTATGGGTCTTTGTGTGAGTCTATGGGTCTCTGTGTGAGTACGGGTCTTTGTGTGAGTCTATGGGTCTTTGTGTGAGTCTATGGGTCTTTGTGTGAGTCTACAAGTCTCTGTGTGAGTCTATGGGTCTTTGTGCGAGTCTATGGGTCTCTGTGAACTTATGGGTCTCTGTGTGAGTACGGGTCTTTGTGTGAGTCTATGGGTCTCTGTGTGAGTACGGGTCTTTGTGTGAGTCTATGGGTCTTTGTGTGAGTCTGTGGGTCTTTGTGTGAGTCTACAAGTCTCTGTGTGAGTCTATGGGTCTTTGTGTGAGTCTATGGGTCTCTGTGTGAACTTATGGGTCTCTGTGTGAGTATGGGTCTTTGTGTGAGTTTATGGGTCTCTGTGTGAGTACGGGTCTTTGTGTGATTCTTTGGGTCTTTGTGCGAGTCTGTGGGTCTTTGTGTGAGTCTACAGGTCTCTGTGTGAACTTATGGGTCTCTGTGTGAGTACGGGTCTTTGTGTGGGTCTATGGGTCTCTGTGAGTCTATGGGTCCTTGTGTGAGTTTATGGGTCTTTGTGTGAGTCTATGGGTCTTTGTGTGAGTTTATGGGTCTTTGTGTGAGTCTATGGGTCTTTGTGTGAGTCTATGGGTCTTTGTGTGAGTCTGTTATCAGTGTCGCATGGTTTGTAATGGTGCTGCTTCTGCTGTTAACATTGCCGTTGCTAATTGTTGTGGTGGTTGTTGTGGTGGTTGTTGTGGTGGATGTAGTTTTTCACAGGATGGTGGGTGATCATCGATGCTGCGGTTATGTATCCTGAGTCGTCCAAACTCAACCACGCTTACCACACATGTGGTGTGATCTCAACTATAGCCTTCCTCATGTAAGCAACCATCAACACCACCACCATCAACACCACCACCATCAACACCACTACCATTATCAACACCACTGTAAACACTACCACCACAACCACTACCATCAACTGCCCAGTAGCATCCTTCACAAGCCTCCTCCACAGAGGCCGATCTTGACACCGCTGGTACCAGTCATCGGCAAGTCCACTCAGCTCCATGTCCTCCTGTATCACATCACTCCATCTCTTCGCTAGCCCGTGCCGCGCCCGTTTATCCCCCTCGATCCGGCCGAACAAAAGCTGTTTCGGCATGCGGTGGCTGGGCATGCGGGCTACATGACCCAGCCAAAGCAGCCTCGCCTGCCGGAGGAGCTCACCGATGGGACCTTGCCCAGATTTTTCAAGGATTTGTGAGATCCTCGCACAATCCAGCTTGGTTAAACCCAGGATGGATCGTAGGCAGGCCAGCCTAAATGTTTCTAACTGGCGAAGATGCTCCATTAGGGGGGTCCACGTTTCGCAAGCGTAGAGAAAGGAGGGAATGACCGTGGCCGAGAAGACCTGAAGCTTAGTGCGGAGCGACAGACCAGGTAGCTTCCACACAGCGTTACGCAACCGATGAAAAGATATTGCCGCTCGACTGATTCGGAGTGAGACCTCTGCTGTTAAACTGGAGCCGATCATCAACACCACCACAATCAACACCACCATCATCAACACCACCATCATCAACACCACCACCATCAACAACACCATCAACACCACCATCATCAACACCACCATTGTCAACATTACTATAAACACCACCACTACCATCAACACCACCACTACCATCAACACCACCACCATCATCAACACCACCATCAACACCACCACCATCAACAACACCATCAACACCACCATCATCAACACCACCATGGTCAACATTACTATAAACACCACCACTACCATCAATACCACCACCACCACCACTACCATCAACACCACCACCACCACGCCCACGATCAACACCACCACCATCATCAACACCACCACCATCATCAACACCACCATCATCAACACCACCATCATCAACACCACCATCATCAACACCACCATCATCAACACCACCATCATCAACACCACCATCATCAACACCACCATCATCAATGCCACAACCATCAACACCATCAACAACACCACCACCACAACCATCAACACCATCATCAACAACAATACTAGAGGCCGACCGAAATTCGGTTTCGGCGCTGGAAGTTGGCAAGTTGTCTCTTTCGGCATCGTTTTATGTTTCGGCCGAAACTGATATTGACTTTGGGTCGTCAAGTGAAGATCTGTTTTTAGAATATAACGCTAGTGCTACGTCTATCAATCTGCCTATCGGCCGGTCAGTAGGCGCTAGGCTATCCTACATGCTGCAAAACAAAGATAAAAAAAAACATCCCCCGTATAGCCTTAACAGACTGTAGGGGCAAGTGCTGTTAGCGAGCACCTATAAAGGCCGGAACGGTACACGAGGGGGTGGGTGGCCAGCACCACGCCCGACCGCCTTTGTCTCCCCAGTGGCGATGTTTACACACCGCACCAGGTACTCATTTGAGGCCGAGTCGACCTAGGGGAGGCCCGGGACCGGTTCAGATAATCGTCACTGGTGTTGGCCGTGAGCGGGAATCGAACCCGGGTCGCCAGGTTGGTAGCGCAGCGTAGCGCTAACCGCTGCACCATCGCTCCCCACAAACACACAGACACACAGACACACAGAGACACACACACAGACACACAGAGACACACACACACAGAGACACACACAGACACACACACAGAGACACACACACAGATACACACAGACACACACACAGACACACACACAGACACACACACAGACACACACACAGACACACACAGACGTCAGCAGCTGCAGCTTGGGAGCGATGTTACAGCCGCAACTATATTCTGCTACCGTAGATGCGACCGGTTCACAGAAGGCAGCCTGCATCTCCATCCGTGTGTGGAGTCTCTTTAGCGGGACGACAGCAAAGCGCCTCCGTTGTCTGTTCCCAGCCGCCAGCCCGCCTTGGCTTGCGTGTTGCGTTTCGCTTGAGTCTACGCGCGTGTTGATGCCGAGATTCGAAGTCTGGCAATATTGATATTCAGTTAACTTAACTAAATCTAAATCTAGAATTGATATTCAGTTAGTTGATAGTTCCGTAGCGAATTAGTGATAACGAAATTACGAATTCTTGAGTGAAGTAGGAAATTAAAGTTAATAAACGGAGCAGTTAATCGGAAGAATGTCAAAGCACGCGGTGTGGGATTACTCCACCAAAGTCGATTTTGATTAAAGCAAGGTGCAGCAACTTGTTGGGCAAGAATGCGGAAAAACTGGTATTTATTAACTACAACATTGGTTTCTTTTGATATAATTACTAAGTAAGTAACACCTAAAGATTTGATATTTACCGACTCTTACTGCAGGCTCTGAATGATTAGTTCTAGATTTATTTTTAATTAAAGTAGCATTGCTTCATGACATTTAATAAATCTTGTGTTGGGTAACTTCGGTTATTACCTTGCTGGTTTCGGTTTGGGCCGAAAGCAGAAATTCAGTTTCGGTCGGCCTCTAAACAATACCACCACAACCACCACTATCAACACCACCACAACCACCACAACCACCACTATCAACACCACCACCACCACAACCACCACTATCAACACCACCACCACTGTCAACACCATCATTAACACAACCTACTACCATCAACACCACGACCATCAACACCATCACCACCACAACCACCACTATCAACACCACCACAACCACCACTATCAACACCACCACCACTGTCTACACCATCATTAACACAACCTACTACCATCAACACCACCACCATCAACACCATCACCACCACAACCACCACTATCAACACCACCACCACAACCACCACTATCAACACCACCACCACTGTCAACACCATCATTAACACAACCTACTACCATCAACACCACCACCATCAACACCATCACCACCACAACCACCACTATCAACACCACCACCACAACCACCACTATCAACACCACCACCACTGTCAACACCATCATTAACACAACCTACTACCATCAACACCACCACCATAAACACCACTATCAACACCACCACCACCACTGTCAACACCATCATTAACACAACCTACTGCCATCAACACCACCACCATCAACACCATCACCACCACAACCACCACTATCAACACCACCACCACAACCACCACTATCAACACCACCACAACCACCACTATCAACACCACCACCACTGTCAACACCATCATTAGCACAACCTACTACCATCAATACCACCACCATCAACACAACCACCACCACAACCACCACACCCATTAACACAACCACCACTGCAATCACCACCACCATCATCAACACCACTATCAACACCACCACTACCACCATTGTCAACACCATCATTAACACAACCTACTACCATCAACACCACCACCATCAACACCACCACAACCACCACCACAACCACCACACCCATTAACACAACCACCACTGCAATCAGCACCACCATCATCAACACCACTATCAACACCACCATCAACACCACCAATAACACCACCATCAACACCACCACAACCACCACACCCATTACATCCATTAACACAACCACCACTGCAATCACCACTTTCCACCACAACCACCACTACAACCACACCCACTTCTACAACCACCACTACCACCACCATCACTACCACCACCACTACGACCATCAACACCACGACCACACACCTACTACCGCAACTACCGCCACAGCCACCATAACCACTACCAAGGACAAAGATCCCCCGTATAGACTGATGGTGCAGGTACTGTTAGCGAGTAGCAACACCACTGAAGGCCAATACGGCACACGAGGGGGTGGGTGGCAAGCACCACGCCCGGCTTCCTTTGCCTCCCTCGTCGAGATGTTTACTACGCACCGCAACAGGTATTCAGTTAAGGCTGAGCTGACCTAGAGGAGGCCCAGGATCGGTTGAGGCAGCTGTCAGCAGTGTTGGTGGCCGTGAGGGGGAATCAAACTCGGGTCGCCGGGTTCGTAGCGCAGGATAGTGCTAAGCGCTGCGCCACCGCTCCCCACAGCCACCCACCACCACCATCGGCACAACCACCGCCGCTACCGAACGGAGACGAATTGTCCCGTGTCTCTCTCTCTCTGTGTGTGTGTGTGTGCAGGATAAACGCCGTCTCTAACGGCCAGGTCAGAGGAGATGGATACAGCGATGGGTGCATGGGACAGACAGGTGCCTCACCTCCTACTCTCTGTGCCTCACCTCCTACTCCCTGTCTCACCTCCTACTCTCTGTGCCTCACCTCCTACTCTCTGTGCCTCACCTCCTACTCCCTGTCTCACCTCCTACTCTCTGTGTCTCACCTCCTACTCTCTGTGCCTCACCTCCTACTCCCTGTCTCACCTCCTACTCCCTATCTCACCTCCTACTCTCTGTCTCACCTCCTACTCTCTGTGTGTCACCTCCTACTCACTGTCTCACCTCCTACTCTCTGTCTCACCTCCTACTCTCTGTCTCACCTCCTACTCTCTGTGTGTCACCTCCTACTCACTGTCTCACCTCATACTCTCTGTCTCACCTCCTACTCCCTGTCTCACCTCCTACTCTCTGTCTCACCTCCTACTCTCTGTCTCACCTCCTACTCTATGTCTCACCTCCTACTCCCTGTCTCACCTCCTACTCCCTGTCTCACCTCCTACTCTCTGTCTCACCTCCTACTCCCTGTCTCACCTCCTACTCCCTGTCTCACCTCCTACTCTCTGTCTCACCTCCTACTCCCTGTCTCACCTCCTACTCCCTGTCTCACCTCCTACTCTCTGTCTCACCTCCTACTCTCTGTCTCACCTCCTACTCCCTGTCTCACCTCCTACTCTCTGTCTCACCTCCTACTCTCTGTCTCACCTCCTACTCTCTGTCTCACCTCCTACTCTCTGTCTCACCTCCTACTCCCTGTCTCACCTCCTACTCTCTGTCTCACCTCCTACTCTCTGTCTCACCTCCTACTCTCTGTCTCACCTCCTACTCTCTGTCTCACCTCCTACTCTCTGTCTCACCTCCTACTCCCTGTCTCACCTCCTACTCTCTGTCTCACCTCCTACTCTGTGTCTCACCTCCTACTCCCTGTCTCACCTCCTACTCCCTGTCTCACCTCCTACTCTCTGTCTCACCTCCTACTCTCTGTCTCACCTCCTACTCCCTGTCTCACCTCCTACTCTCTGTCTCACCTCCTACTCTCTGTCTCACCTCCTACTCTCTGTCTCACCTCCTACTCTCTGTCTCACCTCCTACTCCCTGTCTCACCTCCTACTCTCTGTATCACCTCCTACTCTCTGTCTCACCTCCTACTCCCTGTCTCACCTCCTACTCTCTGTCTCACCTCCTACTCTCTGTCTCACCTCCTACTCTCTGTCTCACCTCCTACTCTCTGTCTCACCTCCTACTCCCTGTCTCACCTCCTACTCTGTGTGCCTCACCTCCTACTCCCTGTCTCACCTCCTACTCTCTGTCTCACCTCCTACTCTCTGTCTCACCTCCTACTCTCTGTGTGTCACCTACTCTCTGTGTCTCACCTCCTACTCTCTGTCTCACCTCCTAATCCCTGTCTCACCTCCTACTCCCTGTCTCACCTCCTACTCTCTGTCTCACCTCCTACTCTCTGTCTCACCTCCTACTCCCTGTCTCACCTCCTACTCTCTGTCTCACCTCCTACTCTCTGTCTCACCTCCTACTCTCTGTCTCACCTCCTACTCCCTGTCTCACCTCCTACTCTCTGTCTCACCTCCTACTCTCTGTCTCACCTCCTACTCTCTGTCTCACCTCCTACTCCCTGTCTCACCTCCTACTCCCTGTCTCACCTCCTACTCCCTGTCTCACCTCCTACTCCCTGTGTCTCCCCCCCTGTGTCTCTCCCCACTCCCCCCCCCCCCCCCGTGGCTCACCCAAAGCATTGTGTCCAACTCTGTCTCTCTGTGTCCCTCTCCGAGTGTAGGGGCGCGCGTCTGGCTGTTTGTGGGCTTCATGTTGTCATTCGGAGCCCTCATCGCCTCCATGTGGATCCTCTTTGGTGGATTTGTTGTCACAAGTGAGGCCCTCAGACTCGCACAGAGACCCACAGACTCATCACACAGAGACCCATAGACTCACCACACAGAGACCCACAGACTCATCACACAGAGACCCATAGACTCACCACAAAGAGACCCACAGATTCATCACACAGAGATCCATAGACTCATCACACAGAGACCCACAGACTCACCACACAGAGACCCATAGACTCACCACACAGAGACCCACAGACTCACCACACAGAGACCCACAGACTCATCACACAGAGACCCATAGACTCATCACACAGAGACCCACAGACTCACCACACAGAGACCCACAGACTCATCACACAGAGACCCACAGACTCATCACACAGAGACCCATAGATTCGTCACACAGAGACCCATAGACTCATCACACAGAGACCCATAGACTCACCACACAGAGACCCATAGACTCATCACACAGACATCCATAGACTCACCACACAGAGACCCACAGACTCATCACACAGAGACCCACAGACTCACCACACAGAGACACACAGACTCATCACACAGAGACCCACAGACTCACCACACAGAGACACACAGACTCATCACACAGAGACCCACAGACTCATCACACAGAGACCCATTGACTCACCACAGAGACCCACAGACTCACCACACAGAGACCCACAGACTCATCACACAGAGACCCATAGACTCATCACACAGAGACCCACAGACTCACCACACAGAGACCCATAGACTCACCACACAGAGACCCACAGACTCACCACACAGAGACCCACAGACTCATCACACAGAGACCCATAGACTCATCACACAGAGACCCACAGACTCACCACACAGAGACCCATAGACTCACCACACAGAGACCCACAGACTCATCACACAGAGACCCACAGACTCACCACACAGAGACACACAGACTCATCACACATAGACCCATAGACTCATCACACAGAGACCCACAGACTCACACAGAGACCCACAGACTCATCACACAGAGACCCACAGACTCATCACACAGAGACCCATAGACTCGTCACACAGAGACCCATAGACTCATCACACAGAGGTCCATAGACTCACCACACAGAGACCCATAGACTCATCACACAGACATCCATAGACTCACCACACAGAGACCCACAGACTCACCTCACAGAGACCCATAGACTCACCACACAGAGACCCATAGACTCACTACACATAGACCCATAGACTCATCACACGGAGACCCACAGACTCACCACACAGAGACCCACAGACTCATCACACAGAGACCCATAGACTCATCACATAGAGACCCACAGACTCACCACACAGAGACCCACAGACTCATCACACAGAGACCCACAGACTCACCACACAGAGACCCACAGACTCATCACACAGAGACCCATAGACTCATCACACAGAAACCCACAGACTCACCACACAGAGACCCACAGACTCATCACACAGAGACCCATAGACTGATCACACAGAGACCCACATACTCACCACACAGAGACCCACAGACTCACCACACTGAGACCCACAGACTAACCACAGAGACCCACAGACTCACCACACAGAGACCCACAGACTCATCACACAGAGACCCACAGACTCACCACACAAGACCCACAGACTCATCACACAGAGACCCACAGACACACCACACACAGAGACCCAGAGACTCACCACACAGAGACCCACAGACTCATCACACAGAGACCCACAGACTCACCACACACAGATACCCACAGACTCACCACACACAGAGACCCGCAGACTCGTCACACAGAGACCCACAGACTCACCAAACACAGAGACCCACAGACTCACCACACAGATACCCACAGACTCATCACACAGAGACCCACAGACTCATCACACAGAGACTCACAGACTCATCACACAGAAACCCATAGACTCACCACACAGAGACCCATAGACTCACTACACATAGACCCATAGACTCATCACACAGAGACCCACAGACTCACCACACAGAGACCCACAGACTCACAAAACACCCCTAGACTCGTCACACAGAGACCTATAGACTCATGACACAGATCATTATCACGTGGAAATGTATTGCCGCAGCCAACTAATCTAAGCACGTCTTGTTTCTGAATGTGGAGGGAAAAACCTGAGGACTTGGATAGATATACATGCAACCTCCATGGGGACAACATGATATACCACTTCATAGCACTATCATTTGTGGCCTGGTTCCTTCTGAAAAATAGCCTAATAGCTCAGTGGGCCTTACTGGGTAAAATCTAAATTGTTTATTTTGCAGTTGAGATCAGTGCTGTATGTGTGGTTAATGTGGTGGTGGTGGCGGTGGTTGCAGAGCAAGAGAATGTCTACCCGGGTCTGGCTGTCTTCTTCCAAAACGCGTTCATTTTCTTTGGGTGAGTTCCACAACAGAGTGTGTGGGTGAGCGGGTGGGTCACCGAGTGTGTACGTGAGTCGGTGACCGGGTGAGTGGGTGAGGGTTTGAGTGGGTGGGTGGGTAAGTGGGTGAGCGAGTGAGTGGGTGAGCAGTTGAGTGGGTGATTGTGTGGATGAGTGGGTGAGGGCTTAAGTCGGTGGGTGGGTGAGCGAGTGAGTTGGTGAGTAGTTGTGTGGGTGAGGGCTTAAGTCAGTGGGTGGGTGAGCGAGTGAGTGGGTGAGTAGTTGTGTAGGCGAGGGCTTAAGTCGGTAGGTGGGTGAGCGAGTGAGTTGGTGAGTAGATGAGCGAGTGAGTGCTTGAGTGAGCGAGCGCTTGAGTGAATGGGTGGGGAGGGGTGGGTGAGTCAATGGGTGGGGGTGAGCAGGTGGACAGGTTGGTGGATGAGTGAGTGGTTGGGCAGGTGAGTGGGCGAGTGAGTGGTGAGTACTGAGGTGAGTTTTTGTGTTGCAGGGGACTGGTTTTCAAGTTTGGACGATCTGAAGATCTTTGGGAATGAGAAATTTCCACTCAAGCACTCACTCATCCACTCGCTTAAACATTGACCCACTCATGCACCCACTCACTCACTCACCCACTCACTCACTCACCCGCTCACTCACCCACTCACCCACCCATTCACTCACCCACTCACTCACCCACTCACTCGCCCACTCACTCGCTCACTCACCCACTCACTCACCCGCTCACTCACCCATGCACTCACCCAAGCACTCACCCACGCACTCACGCACCCACTCGCCCACCCACCCACCCAGTCTCACTCACTGTCACAACGCTATTATGTTATCATTAGTTTTTGTAAGCCACTTTAGTGTGGAGGTTCTGCGTATCTGAACTAGGGATTATAAAGCTGCCCTGCTTTTTTCATATCTGCCATTTCCAGTCACTGGTCTCCGAATTCCTCGTTCGTGTGGGACGTGTAAGAGTGGTATATTGCCTTCACCAACAAGAGCTATGACATGTAAGTTGTACATGTGTGTGTGTGTCACCTTGCATCTGTGTGCGGACGCCCTGTCCCCTGAGAAGTCCCCAAGGGTAGACGGCGAACCCTCGAGGTGACTGCCTCGGGCCCCGCGCTTTGGTGCGTGGGGGGGGGCATGGGGGTTTAGTGTCAAAGGGCTCCCATTGCGTTCAGAAATCCGAATCGTTATTTCGACTGTGGAAGGAATGTTGACGCGCTATGAAGCCCCCGTGTCACGTGCTCAGTAGGGGCAGGGGCTCAGAGAGCCGGAACAAAAAAACACGACGGTGCCAAGAACATGAAATGCAAGCAAATCGCCGACTAAACACAACTGTTATTCTGCCAGGGCGAATGCCCACTGGGGTATGTGGTAGCTCTTTTTCGGAAGCCAACCTGGCCCACCGCAAGTGATCGCAGCTCAACGGAAGTGGCCGATATCGCCATCGGAGCCGTCGTGTGGACATTTATAGCAGCAGCAGCAGCAGCCAATGTTAAAGGGCTCCAAATTGGCCTGCAGTTGGCCTGCAGTGCTGAAGGCCCAGGCCATCTGACCTTCGTCTGGGCCTCCATTCGGATGTCCCCTGCCGGTCGGACGTGTTCCGTTTTGACGAGCGAGGGGGGGCGGGGGTTGGGGGTGGGGTGGGTGATGACGACAATGCGTTTCGTACGAATCTTAACGTGAACCACGATTTGTACACACCCCCGTTGGTCATACCCCCACCATGTACGTAAGGCCGTGTAAAAGCAGGAAATGTAATAAACTGATACTTTAACGTCCGTGCAAATCGTTGAGGTCCCTCGTTTTAACGAGCGAAATCAATAATCCCCCTCCCCCCCCCCCGGTAAATATAACGCTTGGTGACATACTACGATGTGGTGCTACTACTACGACTACTAAAGTAGAACCCCCTCTTAACGACGGTAATTGGACGCGCGAAGCGGCCGCTAAGCGATTCCGTTGTTAGGTGAGTCTAGGGGCGGAGCACGAACACCGCCAAGAATTCCAAAGGAGATGTTTCCCCCTGCAAGGCGCAGCAAGATGGCCCAATGTAAAATAATGCTCCCTCAGCGCTCGTGAGTTGGACGTCGCTGATTGGCCGAGGCCACCTCGGACCGCTTTGGAGCTCGCCGATTGGCCGAAATTGGCGGTCGCGTGCTCGTCATGAGCCCGTCGTTACCTGGGCAACGTTCGCTAAGCGAACTCGTTGGGCTCTATGGAGGCCTGTCGATAAGCGATTAGTCGGTAACAGGGGTTCTCTACACTATACACTACACCACTATACACTACACTATACACTACATCACTACACTAAACGACTATACACTAAACTATGCACTACACTATACACTACACCACTATACACTACACTACTATACACTATACACCACACTATACACTACATCACTACACGAAACCACTATACTCTACACTATACACTACTATACACTACACTATACACTACATCACTACACTAAACCACTATACACTACACTATACACACCACTATACACTACACTACTATACACTACACTATACACTACACTATACACTACTATACACTACACTGTACACTAAACTATACACTACACTATACACTACACTATACACTACACCACTATACACTACACCACTATACACTACACTACTATACACTATACACTACACTATACACTACACTGTACACTACACTGTACACTACACTGTACACTACACTACTATACACTACACCACTATACACTACACCACTATACACTACACTATACTACACCACTATACACTACACTATACTACACCACTATACACTACACTATACACTACACCACTATACACTACACTATACACTAGTGCTGTACTAGTATACTACACTATACACACCACTATACACTACATTGTACACTACACTATACACTACACTACTATACACTACACTATACACTACACCACTATACACTACACTATACACTACACTATACACTACTATACACTACACTATACACTACTATACACTACACTATACACCACTATACACTACACTATACACTACACCACTATACACTACACTATACACTAGTGCTGTACTAGTATACTACACTATACACACCACTATACACTACATTGTACACTACACTATACACTACACTACTATACACTACACTATACACTACACCACTATACACTACACTATACACTACACTATACACTACTATACACTACACTATACACTACTATACACTACACTATACACTACTATACACTACACCACTATACACTACACTGTATACTACTATACACTACACTGTACACTACTATACATTACACTATACACTACACTATACACTACTATACACTACACTATACACTACACTATACTATACACTACTATACACTACACCACTATACACTTCACTATACACTACACTATACACTACACCACTATACACTACACTATACACTACACGTTGAGTTAAGCGATGACGTCACCCTGCTGCTCTATATAAAACCGGGAGCAAGCGAGGGCTTTACCATTCTGGCGAATTGCCTGATGATGCTGGAAGTATTTACCAGCGAAACGTCGTACTCAAACTGTAAATGTGGATTCACTCTTCAACACACCGGTGGGCTAAAGTAGTGAATTATTTGTCTTTTGTCAACGTGACACTTTTTTTGCTGATTGGCCGTGTCGGGTGGTGGAGGGTTACGACACATTTATAAATAAACGCGATCTAACCCAAAAACCGTTATTATGAACTACACGTTGGGCTCTATGGTGGAGGCCCATGGATAAGCGATGAGTCGTTGAGAGGCTTCTTCTGTCTTAGTAGGGAACAGGACTACACTATACACTACACTATATACTACACTATACACTACACTATACACACCACTATACACTACACTATACACTACACCACTATACACTACACTATACACTACACCACTATACACTACACTATACACTACACCACTATACACTACACCACTATACACTACACTATACACTACACCACTATACACTACACTATACACTACACGTTGGGCTCTATGGTGGAGGCCCATGGATAAGCGATGAGTCGTTGAGAGGCTTCTTCTGCCTTAGTAGGGAACAGGACTACACTATACACTAGTGCTGTACTAGTACACTACACTATACACTACACTGTACACTACACTGTACACTACACTGTACACTACACTATACACTACACGTTGGGCTCTATGGTGGAGGCCCATGGATAAGCGATGAGTCGTTGAGAGGCTCCTTCTGCCTTAGTAGGGAACAGGAGCGGCAAGTTACTGTTTGGTCCTTTGGGCGAAGTCCACGTCGGTACAAAGTAAATCACGTGACGTTTCGGGCGCGACACAACAAGCGTCCGTGATCACGTGGGACAGCCACAGCAAGAAACTACTTGCTGAAGTGGGCAAAGTGGGCGTGGCAAGAGGCGATAAAGGTGAGGGGGGGCAGGGAGGGGGGGGCCAGGGAGGGGGGGAGGAGCCAGGGAGGGGGGGCAGAGAGGGGGGGGCAGAGAGGGGGGGACAGGGAGGGGGGGAGTCAGGGGGAGCCAGGGAGGGGGGGGCAGAGGGGGGGGGGGGAGTCGGGGAGGGGGAGGAGCCAGGGAGGGGGGGGGCCAGGGAGGGGGGGGAGGCCAGGGAGGGAGGGGGGAGCCGGGGCGGGGGAGCCAGGGAGGGAGGGAGGTGCCAGGGAGAGGGAGGGGGGGAGGAGCCAGGGAGGGGGGGGAGGAGCCAGGGAGGGGGGGGAGCCAGGGAGCGGGGGAGGGGGGGAGCAGGGGGAGGGGCTTCAAGTTAAGAGACAAACTTTCAAATGTCTATTGAACGTTAAGTTAAGAAGTGTTGTCTTTGAAATGGTGAATCACAGAAGTTAGGAAACGCATCCCTACAGAAGTGATGTTATAAGTGATTCACTTTACGACGGCTCAATGCACAAAGTTCCAGGAATGTAAGTCGAGGTTTTATTACTGTACTGGGAATTTCACCTTCGATTGCCATGGTTGGCTACGTACGGTGCGAAAAAAGTTCAACATCCCTGCTATGCACGCTCTGAATGATAACACCATAGCCTAAATGCATTGTGAATTCTGATATATACCAAACTGTATGATGACAAATATCTTATACCGATCGGTACTATTATCTCATAAACCCGAAATCCTGTGCACTGTGGATTCTAACTCCATAGTCTATGTGCACTGTAGATTCTAACCCCATAGTCTACGTGCACTGTGGATTCTAACCCCATAGTCTACGTGCACTGTGGATTCTAACCCCATAGTCTATGTGCACTGTGGATTCTAACCCCATAGTCTATGTGCACTGTGGATTCTAACCCCATAGTCTACGTGCACTGTGGATTCTAACCCCATAATCTACGTGCACTGCGGATTCTAACCCCATAGTCTATGTGCACTGTGGATTCTAACCCCATAGTCTATGTGCACTGTGGATTCTAACCCCATAGTCTATGTGCACTGTGGATTCTAACCCCATAGTCTGTGCACTGGATTCTAACCCCATAGTCTATGTGCACTATGGATTCTAACCCCATAGTCTATGTGCACTATGGATTCTAACCCCATAGTCTATGTGCACTATGAATTATAACCCTTAGCCTACGTGCACTATGGATTATAACCCGATAGCATATGTGCACTATGGATTCTAACCTGTAGCCAACGTCCACTGGATTCTAACCCCCATAGCCTATGTGCACTGTGGATTCTAACCCGATAGTCTATGTGCACTATAGATTATAACCCCATAGCTTACGTGCACTATGGATTCTAACCCGATAGCATATGTGCACTGGATTCTAAACTGTAGCCGACGTGCACTGAATTCTAACCCCATAGCCTACGTGCACTATGGATTATAACCCCCATAACTTATGTGCACTATGGATTCTAACCCCCATAACCTATATGCACTATGGATTCTAACCCCATAGCCTACGTGCACTATGGATTCTAACCCCATAGCCTACGTGCACTATGGATTATAACATGTAGCCCATGTGCATTATGGATTATAACCTGTGGCCGATGTGCACTAGATTCTAACCCCATAGTCTACGTGCACTATGGATTCTAACCCCATAGTCTACGTGCACTATGGATTCTAACCCCATAGTCTACGTGCACTATGGATTATAACCCCATAGTCTACGTGCACTATGGATTATAACCCCATAGTCTACGTGCACTATGGATTCTAACCCCATAGCCTACGTGCACTATGGATTCTAACCCGATAGCATATGTGCACTATGAATTCTAACCCCTTAGCCAACGTGCCCTATGGATTCTAACCCGATATCTTACTTGCACTATGGATTCTAACCCCGTAGTCTACGTGCACTATGGATTCTAACTCCATAGCCCACGTGCACTATGGATTCTAACCCCATATCCAATTTTAACTATGGATTGTAACCTGTGGCCGATGTGCACTGGATTCTAACCCCCATAACCTACGTGCACTATGGATTCTAACCTGTAGCCTATGTGCACTATGGATTATAACTCCATAACCGATTTGGATGATTACACCCCCCCCAACAGTCGATGTGCACTTTGGGTTCTAACCAGACATCCTATTCGGACTATGGATTTCAACCCCTATAGCCTATGTGAACTATGGATTGTGGTCCCGGCCCGCGAGGCGCAATGGCGGAGGCCGTCACCTCCATGCGGAGGCTGAGGGCGCAGAGAGGTGAGCGCGGCCCGAGGTCGACCCCCGGGGCTCACGGGACCCCCTGAGAGCCCCTGAGAGCCCCTAGGACCCCCTGGGACCCCCTAGGACCCCCTAGGAGCCCCTGGGACCCCCTAGGAGCCCCTAGGACCCCCTAGGAGCCCCTGGGACCCCCTAGGACCCCCTAGGACGCCTAGGAGCCCTAGAAGCCCCTAGGAGCCCCTAGGACCCCCTAGGACTCCTTAGGAGCCCCTAGGACCCCCTGGGACCCCCTAGGAGCCCCTGGGACCCCCTAGGAGCCCCTGGGACCCCCTGGGAACCCCCTAGGAGCCCCTAGGACCCCCTAGGAGCCCCCTAGGAGCCCCTGGGACCCCCTAGGAGCCCCTAGGACCCCCTGGGACCCCCTAGGAGCCCCCTAGGGGCTTGCGAAGTGAACTCTCCTCGCGGCTCCCCTCGCGGCCTTGGCAGCTGCTCGGCACTCGCCCGAGCGGCTCGCGTGGCCTGGCCGGGGCAGCTTTGTCTGTGTGTGTCTGTGTGTGTGTGTGTCTGTGTGTGTGTGTCTATGTGTGTGTGTGTCTGTGTGTGTGTGTCTGTGTGTGTGTGTCTATGTGTGTGTGTGTGTCAGTGTGTGTGTGTCTGTGTGTGTGCCTATGTGTGTGTGTGTCTATGTGTGTGTGTGTCTGTGTGTGTGTGTCTGTGTGTGTGTGTCTATGTGTGTGTGTGTCTGTGTGTGTGCCTATGTGTGTGTGTCTATGTGTGTGTGTGTGTGTGTCTGTGTGTGTGTGTCTATGTGTGTGTGTCTATGTGTGTGTGTCTGTGTGTGTCTATGTGTGTGTGTCTATGTGTGTGTGTGTCTATGTGTGTCAGTGTGTGTGTGTCTGTGTGTGTGTGTCTATGTGTGTGTGTGTCTGTGTGTGTCTGTGTGTGTGTCTATGTGTGTGTGTCTGTGTGTGTCTATGTGTGTGTGTCTGTGTGTCTGTGTGTGTGTGTCTATGTGTGTGTGTGTGTCTGTGTGTGTGTGTCTGTGTGTGTCTGTGTGTGTGTCTGTGTGTGTGTCTATGTGTGTGTGTGTCTGTGTGTGTGTGTCTATGTGTGTGTCTGTGTGTCTATGTGTGTGTGTCTATGTGTGTGTGTCTATGTGTGTCAGTGTGTGTCTATGTGTGTGTGTGTGTGTCAGTGTGTGTGTGTGTCTATGTGTGTGTGTCTGTGTGTGTGTGTCTGTGTGTGTGTCTGTGTGTGTGTGTCTATGTGTGTGTGTCTGTGTCTATGTGTGTGTGTCTGTGTCTATGTGTGTGTCTATCTGTCTGTGTCTGTGTCTGTGTGTATCTATCTGTCTACGTGTGTGTCTGTCTGTGTGTGTCTATGTGTGTGTGTCTATGTGTGTGTGTCTGTGTGTGTGTCTGTGTCTATGTGTGTGTGTCTATGTGTGTGTGTCTGTGTGTGTGTCTGTGTGTCTATGTCTGTGTGTGTCTATGTATGTGCGTGTGTCTATGTGTGTCTGTGTCTATGTGTGTGTGTCTATGTCTGTGTTTATATGTGTGTGTCTATCTGTCTGTGTGTGTCTATCTGTGTGTGTCTATCTGTGTGTCTATGTCTGTGTGTGTCTGTGTCTATCTGTGTGTGTTTATCTGTCTGAGTGTCTATCTGTGTGTTTGTCTATCTGTGTCTGTGTGTCTATCTGTGTGTCTGTGTCTATGTGTGTCTGTGTGTGTGTCTGTGTCTATCTGTTTCTATGTGTGTGTCTATCTGTGTGTCTATGTGTGTCTATGTGTCTGTGTCTATCTGTGTGTCTATCTGTGTGTCTATGTGTCCGTGTCTATCTGTGTGTATATCTGTGTGTCTATGTGTCCGTGTCTATCTGTGTGTCTATCTGTGTGTCTGTGTGCGTGTCTGTATCTATGTGTGTCTGTGTGAGCCTGTGTGTGTCTGTGTGTGTATCTATCTGTGTGTGTGTCTGTGTGTGTCTGTGTGTGTGTCTATCTGTGTCTGTGTCTATCTGTGTGTGTCTATGTCTGTGTATATCTGTGTGTCTGTGTCTTATCTGTGTGTGTGTCTGTTTGTGTCTATCTGTGTCTGTGTCTATGTGTCTGTCTATCTGTGTGTCTATGTGTGTCTGTGTGTGTGTCTGTGTCTATGTGTGTGTCTGTGTGTGTCTGTGTGTCTATCTGTGTGTATCTGTGTGTGTGTCTCTGTCTGTGTGTGTGTGTGTCTGTCTGTGTGTGTGTCTATGTCTGTGTGTGTGTGTCTGTGTGTCTGTGTGTGTGTGTGTCTGTGTGTCTACCTCCTCGCGGTGCCGGACGGGCAACTCTGTCGTGGAGGGAGATCCAATTTTTTTTGGCTCCTCCCCTCATGGCATATGTGTCCACCACAGGGGCTAAACGGGGGCTCTGGACGGGTGCGAGGGGCTGGTAACCCCTTCACCTTCAATTAATTACCACGAAACCACGAATTAAACTGAAATATGTAACAACTAAGCTTGTGCCGGAGGCCCCGGGGGGCCAGGCGTCTATGACGTCTCCTGGCCAAACCCCAATTGGCGGAGCCAGGAGATTGAATACCTACCCTCGGGGCTACTCCAGAAACAACGAAAAGCCACTACGGGTGGCCACGTGGAATGTTCGAACGCTCACTGCAGAGGAGAGGCTGCCACTCCTCTGTCGGGAGCTGGACCGGTACCGCCTGGATCTATGCGGCATTCAGGAGGTCTGGTGGACCGGCTCTGGCTCCTGCCACCATGAGGGGTGGACAGTCCTCTACTCGGGGCAGCAGACTGCCAAACAAGAGGGTGTGGGTCTTCTTTTGAACAAAAGAATGAAGGGGGCGTGGGAGCGTGGCGGTGAGGTGTGGGAAGCTGTAAGCCCCAGGCTACTTTGGGCTCGCCTTCCCATCAACCGGAGGCGAGGAATGGTGGTCGTGGTTACTTATGCCCCCACCGAAGATGAACATCCGTGGAGGGATGCAGGCAAAGCCGATGAGTCAGATGCCTTCTATGACCTCCTGTCACAGGTGCTGGCTAAAGTGGCCCCTCAGGATAGAGTCATCATGTTGGGTGACTTCAATGCCCGAGTTGGTCATGATACTGGCACCTGGTCTGGAGTGATTGGAGGGCATGGGCCAGATCAGCTCAATAACAACGGTAGGAGGCTGCTAGATTTTTGTGCAGCCCATGGGCTTGTAATTACCAACACGCTGTTCCGGCATCGGTGCATCCACACAACATCATGGATGCATGCCGGGTCCAAGCAAGAACATCTGCTGGACTACATAGTGACAGACCAGCGAATGCGAGCCCATGTCCTTGACACCAGGACCTACCGTGGAGCTGATCTGCCCTCTGACCATCGACTAGTCATCTGTAAGATGCGCCTGCCATTCTTCCACTCCGGTGGTGGGTGTACACCCAGGATCCCATTCCAACCTAAAGTGGCCTGGTCTCAGTTATCTGATGAAAGTTGCAAGCGAGAATTTCATCATCGCTTGCGGCTGGGATTGGCATCGTCCCCGACTCCTCCTGATGTCGAGGGTACATGGGCGAGGTTTAGGACTGTGACTCATGCAGCTGCAATGGCTGCTTTGGGTACGCGGTCCAGACCTCCCCAGACACCCTGGCTGACAGAGGAGTTGTTTAGGATGGTTGAGAAAAAGCGACAGGCCCACTGTCATCGGCTACAGAATCCCACGTCAGAGAATGAGGAGGCTTACCGCAGCCTTCGCTCGGAGGTTCGGAGAGCCGTGAGGCGCTGCAAGGATGGGTGGTGGTCGCGGGTTGCTGAGGGGATGGAGTCTGCCTCAGTGGCCCGTGATCACAAATCTCTATTTAACTCCATCAAAAAAGTAACCTGCAGCGCCACACCTATTACCATCATTAGGGGAAAAAAACGGTGATCCAATTTCCGACCCCCAGGAACAGGTTCGCAGATTTGCTGAGCATTTCTGTGAGGTCCTGGGGGAGGGAAAATCCCTCAGCCAGGAAAACATCGTGGCACAAAGTGAGGATGACCCTGCTGAGGCTGCGGTGCCTCAAATATTGGATGAAGTCACCCCCTGTGAGTGGCTGGCTGAGGTGCCATCTGCTGAGGAAGTATTGAAGGCGATCCGGAGTCTGAGACCAGGAAAGGCAGCGGGCAGAGATGATCTCCCAAGCGAAATGCTGAGGGAGGGTGGCGTTTGTGCACAGACTGCCCTATATGACATCATAACAACAGTCTGGACCACTGGACGGGTTCCGCAGGATTGGAAGGATGCCCTGGTGGTCCCTCTCTTTAAGAAGGGGGACCGCACAGACTGTAACATGTGGGAGCCAGAGGGATGTCCTCTGGCTCCCACATTATTTAACATCTATTTTGACCACGTAGTTCGTGAAGCCTTCAATAGCTGTACCGGGGGAATCTCCATATGGTACAGATATAATGGGAGGCTAATGGATGCCCGGGTGCGGTCAAGGGATGGCTCCCTATTGCTCAACCACGTTATGTATGCTGATGATTTGGTAATAGCTGCTCAGTCAGAGGAGGAGTTGGAGACGCTGCTGCTGAGACTGGAGCGTGCCACTAAGAGGTGGGGCCTTACCATCAGCCCCACCAAAACTAAGCACCTGCCTGGGTATTTTGTACCATCGGACACTCTACCCCCACAACTCGCAATCGGTGATGGGGCAGTTGTGGAGAGAGTGGAGAGTTTCCCATACCTGGGCAGTGTGCTTATGACTGGCTTCAGTTTAACAGCAGAGGTCTCACTCCGAATCAGTCGAGCGGCAATATCTTTTCATCGGTTGCGTAACGCTGTGTGGAAGTTACCTGGTCTGTCGCTCCGCACTAAGCTTCAGGTCTTCTCGGCCACGGTCATTCCCTCCCTTCTCTACGCTTGCGAAACGTGGACCCCCCTAATGGAACATCTTCGCCGGTTAGAAACATTTAGGCTGGCCTGCCTACGATCCATCCTGGGTTTAACCAGACTGGATTGTGTGAGGAGCTCACAAATCCTTGAAAGATCTGGGCAGGGTCCCATCGGTGAGCTCCTCCGGCAGGCAAGGCTGCGATGGCTGGGTCATGTAGCCCGCATGCCCAGCCACCGCATGCCGAAACAGCTTTTGTTTGGCCGGATTGAGGGCGCTAAGCGGGCGCGGCACGGGCTAGAGAAGAGATGGAGTGATGTGGTACAGGAGGACGTGGAGCTGAGTGGACTTGCCAATGACTGGTACCAGCGGTGTCAAGATCGGCCTCTGTGGAGGAGGCTCGTGAAGGATGCTACTGGGCAGTTGGAGGCAGTCGCCCTCCAACAACAACGGAGGGCGGAGGAGCGATGCTCACAACAGCGAGCGGAGCGCTGGGTGGCTAAAGCACAGCAGGTTGGCACAGTAGGGGGCACAGGTGGTGCATCAGCCAGTCATCTCAGTCAGTCGACCCGTGGCACCTGGGTCTGCCCCGTGACCTCCTGCCAGCGGGCGTTCGACACTTCACGTGGCCTCAGGGTGCACATAGCCTGGCACAAGCGTCGTGGTGACGTCACCGCCACTTAGTGGCGAATGGCGGTTGTTGTTGTTGTATCTGTGTGTGTCTATGTGTCTATGTCTGTGTCTATGTCTGTGTCTATCTGTGTCTATGTCTATGTGTCTGTGTTTGTCTGTCTGTGTGTGTGTCTATGTCTCTTTGTGTGTCTATCTGTGTGTCTGTGTGTGTCTGTGTGTGTCTGTGTCTATCTGTGTCTATGTCTATCTGTGTGTCTATGTCTGTGTCTATCTGTGTGTCTGTGTCTATGTGTCTGTGTCTATCTGTGTGTCTGTGTCTATCTGTGTGTCTGTGTGTCTATCTGTGTGTGTCTGTGTGTGTCTGTGTGTGTGTCTGAGGTGCCATCTGTTGAGGAAGTACTGAGGGCGATCCGGAGTCTGAGACCGGGAAAGGCACCGGGCAGAGATGATCTCCCAAGCGAAATGCTGAGGGAGGGTGGCGTTTGTGCACAGACTGCCCTATATGACATCATAACAACAGTCTGGACCACTGGAGGGGTTCCACAGGATTGGAAGGATGCCCTGGTGGTCCCTCTCTTTAAGAAGGGGGACCGCACAGACTGTAACAACTACAGGGGCATTTCACTCCTCAGTGTGCCGGGAAAGGTCCTGGCAAGGATTATTCAGCATCGCCTTGCCAGGCACGCTGAGGAGAGGCTTGCGGAGCCCCAATGCGGTTTCAGGAAAGGGCGGTCCTGCACAGATGCCATATTTTCTGTCCGTCTGCTACAGCAAAGGTGTAGGGAATTCGAAAAATACCTACATCTCTGCTTTATTTACTTGGTCAAGGCCTATGATACCATCAGTAGGCCTGGGCTCTGAGTTGTTCTTCGTACTTTTGGAGTACCTGACCCTCTGCTCACGATCATTAAGGACCTTCATGATAGTGAGCGGGCCCGGGTAAAACTACGTGGCCGGGAGTCAGAGCCATTCCCTCTACACCTTGGGGTGCGACAGGGATGTCCTCTGGCTCCCACATTATTTAACATCTATTTTGACCACATAGTTCGTGAAGCCTTCAATAGCTGTACCGGGGGAATCTCCATATGGTACAGATATAATGGGAGGCTGATCGATGCCCAGGTGCGGTCAAGGGATGGCTCCCTATTGCTCAACCACGTTATGTATGCTGATGATTTGGTAATAGCTGCTCATTCAGAGGAGGAGTTGGAGACGCTGCTGCTGAGACTGGAGCGTGCCACTAAGAGGTGGGGCCTTACCATCAGCCCCACCAAAACTAAGCACCTGCCTGGGTATTTTGTACCATTGGACACTACACCCCCACAACTCCCAATCGGTAATGGGGCAGTTGTGGAGCGAGTGGAGAGTTTCCCATACCTGGGCAGTGTGCTTATGACCGGCTCCAGTTTAACAGCAGAGGTCTCACTCCGAATCAGTCGAGCGGCAGTATCTTTTCATCGGTTGCGTAACGCTGTGTGGAAGCTACCTGGTCTGTCGCTCCGCACTAAGCTTCAGGTCTTCTCGGCCACGGTCATTCCCTCCCTTCTCTACGCTTGCGAAACGTGGACCCCCCTAATGGAACATCTTCGCCGGTTAGAAACATTTAGGCTGGCCTGCCTACGATCCATCCTGGGTTTAACCAGACTGGATTATGTGAGCTCACAAATCCTTGAAAGATCTGGGCAAGGTCCCATCGGTGAGCTCCTCCGGTGGGCAAGGCTGCGATGGCTGGGTCATGTAGCCCGCATGCCCAGCCACCGCATGCCGAAACAGCTTTTGTTCGGCCGGATCGAGGAGGCTAAACGGGCGCGGCACGGGCTAGAGAAGAGATGGAGTGATGTGGTACAGGAGGACGTGGTGCTGAGTGGACTTGCCGTACTAGCGGTGTCAAGATCGGCCTCTGTGGAGGAGGCTCGTGAAGGACACTACTGGGCAGTTGGAGGCAGTCGCCCTCCAACAACAACAGAGGGCGGAGGAGCGACGCTCACAACAACGAGCGGAGTGCCGGGTGGATAAAGCACAGCAGGTTGGCACAGTAGGGGGCACAAGTGGTGCATCAGCCAGTCATCTCAGTCAGTCGACTTGTTGCACCTGGGTCTGCCCCGTGGCCTCCTGCCAGCGGGCGTTTGACGCTTCACGTGGCCTCAAGGTGCACATGGCCTGGCACAAGCGTCGTGGTCACGTCACCACCACTTAGTGGCAAATGGCGGTTGTTGTTGTATCTGTGTGTGTCTGTGTGAGTCTGTGTGTGTGTGAGTGTGTGAGTCTGTGTGTGTGTGAGTCTGTGTGTGAGTGTGTGAGTCTTGTGTGTGAGTCTGTGAGTCTGTGTGTATGTGAGTGTGTGAGTCTGTGAGTCTGTGTCTTGTGTGTGAGTGTGTGAGTGTGTGAGTCTGTGAGTCTGTGTGTGAGTCTGTGTGTGTGTGAGTCTGTATGTGTGTGAGTCTGTGTGTGAGTCTGTGTGTTTGTGTGTCTGTGTGTGAGTCTGTGAATGTGTGAGTCTGTGGGTCCCTGTGTGAGTCGGTGGGTCTGTGTGAGTCTTTGTGTGTCTCTGTGTGGGTATTATCTGTCAGTCTCTATGTGAGTCTGTGAGTCTGTGTGAATCTGTGGGTGTCTGTGTGAGTCTGTGAGTGTGTGCGAGTCAGTGGGTCTCTGTGTGAGTCTGTGAGTATGTTTGAGTCTGTGGGTCTCTGTGTGAGTCTGTGAGTGTGTTTGAGTCTGTGGGTCTCTGTGTGAGTCTGTGAGTGTGTGTGAGTCTGTGGGTCTCTGTGTGAGTCTGTGAGTGTGTTTGAGTCTGGGTCTGTGTGAGTGTGTGTGTGTTTGAGCCTGGTTCTCTGTGTGAGTCTGTGGGTCTCTGAGTCTGTGGGTCTCTGTGTGAGTCTGTGGGTCTCTGTGTGAGTCTGTGGGTCTCTGTGTGAGTCTGTGGGTCTCTGTGTGAGTCTGTGGGTCTCTGTGTGAGTCTGTGGGTCTCTGAGTCTGTGGGGTCTCTGTGTGAGTCTGTGAGTCTCTGTGTGGGTCTGGGTCTCTGTGTGGGTCTGGGTCTCTGTGTGAGTCTGTGGGTCTCTGTAGGAGTCTGTGGGTCTCTGGTAGTCTGTGGATCTTTGTCCGAGTCTGTGTGAGTCTGAGTCTGGGACTGTGAGTTTATGGGTTTCTGCGTGAATCTGTGTGGGTCTTCGTGAGTCTGTTCGTCTCTCTGACCATACTTCCCCACTCTGGTCTCTGCATCTCAGTGGCGGAGGCCCTGGCTGTTGCTGATGAGCGACGACGACTCAGCGACACAGGCACCACCACCACCACCTCCTCGACCTCGGCAACGGCTACTAAACCAGGTAACTGCAACCACAACAATTACACCTATTAACAACTCCACCCATTAACAATAACCACACCAGGTTCAACAACACCTACCACTACGACACCAGCCACAACCACCACTGAGCAACATCTACAGCAAGAGTCACAACGACACCACCCAGATACAACACCACTCAGATACAACACCACCCAGATACAACACCACCCAGATACAACACCACCCAGATACAACACCACTCAGATACAACACCACCCAGATACAACACCACCCAGATACAACACCACTCAGATACAACACCACCCAGATACAACACCACCCAGATACAACACCACCCAGATACAACACCACTCAGATACAACACCACCCAGATACAACACCACCCAGATACAACACCACCCAGATACAACACCACCCAGATACAACACCACTCAGATACAACACCACCCAGATACAACACCACCCAGATACAACACCACCCAGATACAACACCAGTCAGATACAACACCACCCAGATACAACACCACCCAGATACAACACCACCCAGATACAACACCACCCAGATACAACACCACCCAGATACAACACCACCAGATACAACACCACCCAGATACAACACCACCCAGATACAACACCACTCAGATACAACACCAGTCAGATACAACACCACCCAGATACAACACCACCCAGATACAACACCACTCAGATACAACACCAGCCAGATACAACACCACCCAGATACAACACCACCCAGATACAACACCACTCAGATACAACACCACCCAGATACAACACCAGTCAGATACAACACCAGTCAGATACAACACCAGTCAGATACAACACCAGTCAGATACAACACCACCCAGATACAACACCACCTACATACAACACCAGTCAGATACAACACCACCCAGATACAACACCACCCAGATACAACACCAGTCAGATACAACACCACCCAGATACAACACCACCCAGATACAACACCACTCAGATACAACACCACCCAGATACAACACCACTCAGATACAACACCACCCAAATACAACACCACTCAGATACAACACCACCCAGATACAACACCAGTCAGATACAACACCAGTCAGATACAACACCACTCAGATACAACACCACTCAGATACAACACCAGTCAGATACGACACCACCCAGATACAACACCAGTCAGATACAACGCCAGTCAGATACAACACCACCCAGATACAACACCACTCAGATACAACACCACCCAGATGCAACACCACCCAGATACAACACCAGTCAGATACAACACCACCCAGATACAACACCACCCAGATACAACACCACTCAGATACAACACCAGTCAGATACAACACCACCCAGATACAACACCACCCAGATACAACACCACCCAGATACAACACCACTCAGATACAACACCACCCAGATACAACACCACCCAGATACAACACCACCCAGATACAACACCACTCAGATACAACACCACCCAGATACAACACCACCCAGATACAACACCACCCAGATACAACACCACCCAGATACAACACCACTCAGATACAACACCACCCAGATACAACACCACCCAGATACAACACCACCCAGATACAACACCAGTCAGATACAACACCACCCAGATACAACACCACCCAGATACAACACCACCCAGATACAACACCACCCAGATACAACACCACCCAGATACAACACCACCCAGATACAACACCACCCAGATACAACACCACCCAGATACAACACCACTCAGATACAACACCAGTCAGATACAACACCACCCAGATACAACACCACCCAGATACAACACCACTCAGATACAACACCACCCAGATACAACACCAGCCAGATACAACACCACCCAGATACAACACCACCCAGATACAACACCACTCAGATACAACACCACCCAGATACAACACCAGTCAGATACAACACCAGTCAGATACAACACCAGTCAGATACAACACCAGTCAGATACAACACCACCCAGATACAACACCACCTACATACAACACCAGTCAGATACAACACCACCCAGATACAACACCACCCAGATACAACACCAGTCAGATACAACACCACCCAGATACAACACCACCCAGATACAACACCACTCAGATACAACACCACCCAGATACAACACCACTCAGATACAACACCACCCAAATACAACACCACTCAGATACAACACCACCCAGATACAACACCAGTCAGATACAACACCAGTCAGATACAACACCACTCAGATACAACACCACTCAGATACAACACCAGTCAGATACGACACCACCCAGATACAACACCAGTCAGATACAACGCCAGTCAGATACAACACCACCCAGATACAACACCACTCAGATACAACACCACCCAGATGCAACACCACCCAGATACAACACCAGTCAGATACAACACCACCCAGATACAACACCACCCAGATACAACACCACTCAGATACAACACCAGTCAGATACAACACCACCCAGATACAACACCACCCAGATACAACACCACTCAGATACAACACCACCCAGATACAACACCACTCAGATACAACACCACCCAGATACAACACCACCCAGATACAACACCACCCAGATACAACACCACTCAGATACAACACCAGTCAGATACAACACCACTCAGACACAACACCAGCCAGATACAACACCAGTCAGATACAACACCACCCAGATACAACACCACCCAGATACAACACCACCCAGATACAACACCACCCAGATACAACACCAGTCAGATACAACACCACCTAGATACAACACCACTCAGATACAACACCACTCAGATACAACACCACACAGATACAACACCAGTCAGATACAACACCACCCAGATACAACACCAGTCAGATACAACACCAGTCAGATACAACACCACCCAGATACAACACCACCCAGATACAACACCAGTCAGATACAACACCACTCAGATACAACACCACCCAGATACAACACCACCCAGATACAACACCACCCAGATACAACACCAGTCAGATACAACACCACTCAGTTACAACACCACCCAGATACAACACCACCTAGATACAACACCAGTCAGATACAACACCACTCAGATACAACACCACCCAGATACAACACCACTCAGATACAACACCAGTCAGATACAACACCACCCAGATACAACACCACCCAGATACAACACCACTCAGATACAACACCAGTCAGATACAACACCACTCAGATACAACACCAGTCAGATACAACACCACCCAGATACAACACCACCCAGATACAACACCACTCAGATACAACACCACCCAGGTACAACACCACCCAGATAAAATGCTGAAATTGGGCATTGCTGGAAGCCCCGTGGTCATGAATCGGATCGTCGTAAACCGGACTATATTTTCTCATCGACAGTAGAAACATCGCCTTCTGAATGTACTTTTTCCACTTATCGGCCGCATTTAGCGGTGGCTTAACAAGAAAGCATCATCCACAAAAAAACATTGGAGAATAGCAAAAGCTCCACGCCAAGTCACGTCCACACCGACTCTGTTCCGGTGAGCTCGGAGCCGCATTGGAAGATGTTATTGTAAATCAAGTTTCGGTGTCGTAACTTGATCGCGCGGTGGCGGTGTGTTGAACGTAAGTGGGTGTGGAGAGTCGTCGTCGTTAACCCGGAGCCCGCCGCCGATGTTGTGGTGGTCGTTGATCTGAAGCTGCTGATGAGTTTGGTGCACAAGCGGGTGTGGCGATGATTGACGATTGTTGTTGTTGATGTGGATGTATTCAGTGGATGCCTCGGCAACTAGGAGATGTTAACTCCCTCACCTGTTATACAGGAGCTTGTGGGTTCAATCCCGACCTTGATGCCTGTTGTATATTTTTGGAGTTTGTGTGTGTCTCTCTCTCTCACCGTGGTCGCATGGATTTTTCTCCGGGTCCTCCGGATTTCCCCTCCACATTTAGAATCAAAGTTACGGCGTCTAGAGTGTTTGGCTGCCGCTAAAGATTTCCACACGATGGTGATGACGATGATGAGCCGCTTCGTTGAGCTATCATTTGTGATTGCCAGGTCGCTTCTGGAGAAGAGCCGCGTAGCTTAGTAGCGGGCCTCACACCTTGTCAAATCAAACATAGTTTACATAGTTTAATAGTGGTGAAAAGGAGACTTGCGCAGGTGTTCTTGAACCGCTTCATTCCGTTGTCACCGCTCGTACGCTCATCATCAAACCCAACCCCGTTCCCACGTTTTCCAGTCCCTTACGAACCCCATTCTCCACCAATCACCTTTCTTCAATTTCGAGCCCTTTCCCGATCCGCTGTCCGCACCGATCCGATCGGAGCGTCGTCCACCCACCCGTCGGATTGCGTGTCACGTGACGTGGGTGGGCCCCTGACCTCCGACCCTTCCCTGGAGCTGCATCCCCCATGTGCATTGATTGGTGCGTGCGATGTCGAGTGCGGGAAGGGATGCGTGTTGTTTGAGTGTGCGAGGATGAATTTCGCTTCGTTTTAAAGCTTTTTGAAAAAAGTGTCGGTTTAAAAATAAAATAAAAAAATTTTGCTGTGGTTTTCACACCTGATGACGATTGCTTGTGTTGCAATCGAAACGTCGTGAGAATTTTGTTGTTTTATTGTTATTATTTTATTATTCCCCTTCTACGTTACTTTACCGCTCAAGAATATGTGTGAGGACGGGTGAGATCTCCTCGACGGTCGTGTTAGTGATGTTGCATTCGTTGTTGATGGAGTTATAATGTAGCGGTCGTGGTGGTGGTGGGTTGTTGTTGATTTTGTTGTTGTCAGTGCTGGACGCTTCGTTCCTGAAGAGTGAGGAGAGACAAAGGCGGGCGAGAGAGAGACGCACGGAAAGAGAGAAAGAGATTGGTACAACAGCCAACGCAACAATGACTACAACCAGTACCGCAACAAACGCCACAACAACCACAACACAACAACCATGACTACAACCACCACATTAACTCCAATCACCACAACAACAACCACCACGGTCATGACTACAAGCACCACAACAACTATAATAACTCCACCACCACCACCACAATACAGTGAGGGAAAAAAGTGTTTGATCCCCTGCTGATTTTGGACGTTTGCCCACTGACAAGGAAATGATCAGTCTATAATTTTAATGGTAGGTTTATTTGAACAGTGAGAGACAGAATAACAACAGGAAAATCCAGAAAAACGCATGTCAAAAATTTAATAAATTGATTTGCATTTTAATGAGGGAAATAAGTATATGACCCCCTCTCAATCACAAAGATTTCTGGCTCCCAAGTGTATTTTATATAGGTAACGAGCTGAGATTAGGAGCACACTCTGAAAGGGAGTGCTCCTAATCTCAGCTTGTTACCTGTATAAAAGACACCTGTCCACATAAGCAATCAATCAATCAGATTCCAAACTCTCCACCATGGCCAAGACCAAAGAGCTCTCCAAGGATGTCAGGGATAAGATTGTAGACCTACACAAGGCTGGAATGGGCTACAAGACCATTGCCAAGCAGCTTGGTGAGAAGTTGACAACAGTTGGTGCGATTATTCGCAAATGGAAGAAACACAAAAGAACTGTCAATCTCCCTCGGCCTGGGGTTCCATGCAAGATCTCACCTCGTGGAGTTGCAATGATCATGAGAACGGTGAGGAATCAGTCCAGAACTACACGGGAGGATCTTGTCAATGATCTCAAGGCAGCTGGGACCATAGTCACCAAAAAAACAATTGGTAACACACTACGCCGTGAAGGACTGAAATCCTGCAGCGCCCGCAAGGTCCCCCTGCTCAAGAAAGCACATATACATGCCCGTCTGAAGTTTGCCAATGAACATCTGAATGATTCAGAGGACAACTGGGTGAAAGTGTTGTGGTCAGATGAGACCAAAATTTAGCTCTTTGGCATCAACTCAACTCGCCGTGTTTGGAGGAGAAGGAATGCTGCCTATGACCCCAAGAACACCATCCCCACCGTCAAACATGAAGGTGGAAACATTATGCTTTGGGGGTGTTTTTCTGCTAAGGGGACAGGACAACTTCACTGCATCAAAGGATGATGGACGGGGCCATCTACCGTCAAATCTTGGGTGAGAACCTCCTTCCCTCAGCCAGGGCATTGGAAATGGGTCGTGGATGGGTATTCCAGCATGACAATGACCCAAAACACACGGTCAAGGCAACAAAGGAGTGGCTCAAGAAGAAGCACATTAAGGTCCTGGAGTGGCCTAGCTAGTCTCCAGACCTTAATCCCATAGAAAATCTGTGGAGGGAGCTGAAGGTTCGAGTTGCCAAACGTCAGCCTCGAAACCTTAATGACTTGGAGAAGATCTGCAAAGAGGAGTGGGACAAAATCCCTCCTGAGATGTGTGCAAACCTGGTGGCCAACTACAAGAAACGTCTGACCTCTGTGATTGCCAACAAGGGTTTTGCCACCAAGTACTAAGTCATGTTTTGCAGAGGGGTCAAATACTTATTTCCCTCATTAAAATGCAAATCAATTTATACCATTTTTGACATGTGTTTTTCTGAATTTTGTTGTTGTTATTCTGTCTCTCACTGTTCAAATAAACCTACCATTAAAATTATAGACTGATCATTTCTTTGTCAGTGGGCAAACGTACAAAATCAGCAGGGGATCAAATACTGTTTTCCCTCACTGTATCTCCAATCACCACAACAACGATAACAATCATGACTACAACCACCATAACAACAACAATCATAACTATAACCACCACAACAACTATAAGAACAACTATAAGAACAACTACAACCACCACCACAATCATGACTACAATCACCACATTAACCGCAAAAAGCAACCACCACCACCACAACCATGGATACAATCACCACAACTACCAAAACGAAAATCATCAGAACAACTTCCACAACAACCACAACCACTACGTCCACCACCACAACAATAACTCCAACCACCACAACAACCCCACGGCTCTCTGCATCTCCCCCGTGTCTCCTGATATCTTGATCTCCCAGTATCTCAGTATGTCTCCCCATCTCTCTGCGTCTCCCCCGTGTCTCCTGATATCTTGATCTCCCAGTATCTCAGTATGTCTCCCCATCTCTCTGCGTCTCCCCCGTGTCTCCTGATATCTTGATCTCCCAGTATCTCAGTATGTCTCCCCATCTCTCTGCGTCTCCCCCGTGTCTCCAGCGTTATGCGTCGTCTCTCCGTCTCACTCGCCACATCCCTCCGTGTTTCTCTCACCTTGTCTCCGTGTCTCCGTCATCCTGTTTCCGTGTGTCTCAGCAGAACATACGGCCGAGACTGCGCCTCCCTCCGTCTCCCTCTGTCTCCCCTTGTGTCTCTGCCTCCCACTGTGTCTGCATCTCCCCCCAAGTCTCTCTCCGTGTCTCACTCCGTGTCTCTGTGTCTCTCTCCGTGTCTCACTCTATGTCTCCATGTCTCACCCCGTGTCTCACCCCGTGTCTCCGTGTGTCTCTCTTTCCCCTTGTCTCACCCCGTCTCTGTGGCTTACCCTCCCGTCACCGTGTCTCACCTCCTGTCTCTCCGTATCACACCCCGTGTCTCGATGTCTCCATGTCTCCATGTTTCTCAGCGGAACGCGCGGTGGAGGCTGTGCGCAGGGAGACAGCCCTGAGACAACAGAGGGAGGAGACGCGTCTCACGGAGACACGCAGAGACCAGGAGACGCGGAGACACACGCTGCTGCAGAGGCAAACGGAGACACGCGCCAGGCGGGACCGCATACTGGTAGTGGCGCTGGTGGTTGTGGTGGTTGTGGTGCTTGTGGTGGTGATGGTGGTAGTGCTGGTGGTAGTGGTGGTAGAGTGGACTGTAGTGTGTGGTGTACTGTCGCTTGTATAGCGTGTACTACAGTATGCACAATGCTGCACAAGTGGTGTGCATGTGGTGCAGACTGTGTATGTGTGTGCACGTGTGGTGCAGACTGTGTATGTGTGTGCACGTGTCGTGCAGACTGTGTGTATATGGTAGAGGTGGTGTGTGTGTGTGTAGGCCTGTAGATCTGGACAAAGTCCCATCGGTGAGCACCTCTGGCAGGCAAGGCTTGCCCAATCACCGCATGCCCAAACAGCTTTTGTTCGGCCGGATCGAGGGGGCTAAACGGGCGTGGCACGGGCTAGAGAAGAGGTGGAGTGATGTGGTACAGGAGGACGTGGAGCTGAGTGGACTTGCCGATGACTGGTACCAGCGGTGTCAAGATCGGCCTCTGTGGAGGAGGCCCGTAAAGGACACTACTGGGCAGTTGGAGGCAGTCGCCCTCCAACAACAACGGAGGGCGGAGGAGCGACGCTCGCAACAACGAGCGGAGCGCCGGGTGGCTAAAGCACAGCAGGTTGGCACAGTAGGGGGCACAGGTGGTGCATCAGCCAGTCATCTCAGTCAGTCGACCCGTGGCACCTGGGTCTGTCCTGTGACCTGCCAGCGAGCCTTCGGTACTTCTCGTGGCCTCAAAGTGCACCTAGCCTGGCACAGGTGCCATGGTGACGTCACCGCAACTTAGTGGAGAATGGCGGATGTTGTTGATGGTGGCGGTAGTGGAGGTGGTGGTGGTTGTGGTGATGATGATGGTGGTGGTGATGATGGTGGATGTGGTGGTGGAGGTGGTTGTGGTAGTTGTGGTGGTAGTGGTGGGTGTAGTTTTTTGGTGGTGTTGATGGTGATGGTGGTGGTAGTGGTTGTGGTGATGGTAGTGGTTGTTGATGTCCTGTGTTGTTGGTTGTGGTTGTTGCAGGAACAGAAGCAGGAGTTGTTGATACAGTCAATTGAACGCCGCTCACCCGGTGAGAACAACCACACTCACCACCACAACCACCACAACTACCACTATAAACACCACCACCTTCAACACTACCATCAACACCACCAACAACAACAACCACCTTTTGCCACTAAGTGGCGGTGACGTCACCACGATGCTTTTGCCAGGCCGTATGCACCTTGAGGCCACGTGAAGTGTCGAACACCCACTGGCAGGAGGTCACGGGGCAGACCCAAGTGCCACGGGTCGACTGACCGAGATGACTGGCTGGTGCACCACCTGTGCCCCTTACTGTGGAACCTGCTGTGCTTTAGTCACCCGGCGCTCCGCTCGTTGTTGTGAGCGTTGCTCCTCCGCCCTCTGTTGTTGGAGGGCAACTGCCTCCAACTTCCCATTAGCGTCCTTCACGAGCCTCCTCCACAGAGGCCGATCTTGATACCGCTGGTACCAGTCATCGGCAAGTCCACTCAGCTCCAAGTCCTCCTGTATCACATCACTCCATCTCTTCTCTAGCCCATGCCGCGCCCGTTTAGCCCCCTCGATCCGGCCGAACAAAAGCTGTTTAGGCCTTGACCAGGTCAATAAAGCAGAGATGTAGGTCTTGTTGGAATTCCCTACACCTCTGCTGGAGCAGACGGACAGAAAATATGGCATCTGTGCAGGACCGCCCTTTCCTGAAACCGCATTGGGGCTCCGCAAGCCTCTCCTCAGCGTGCCTGGCAAGGCGATGTTGAATAATTCTTGCCAGGACCTTTCCCGGCACACTGAGGAGTGAGATGCCCCTGTAGTTGTTACAGTCTGTGCGGTCCCCCTTCTTAAAGAGAGGGACCACCAGGGCATCCTTCCAATCCTGTGGAACCCCTCCAGTGGTCCAGACTATTGTTATGATGTCATGTAGGGCAGTCTGTGCACAAACACCACCCTCCCTCAGCATTTCGCTTGGGAGATCATCTCTGCTCGGTGCCTTTCCTGGTCTCAGACTCTGGATCGCCTTCAGTACTTCCTCAACAGATGGCACCTCAGCCAGCCACTCACAGGGGGTGACTTTCACCTCCAATATTTGTGGCACCGCAGCCTCAGCAGGGTCATCCCCACTTTGTGCCACGATGTTTTCCTGACTGAGGGATTTCCCCTCCCCCAGGACCTCACAGAAATGCTCAACAAATCGCAAACCTGCTCCTGGGGGTCGAAGATTGGATCACCATTCTTTACCCTAATTATGGTAATAGGTGTGGCACTGCAGGTTACTTTTTTGATGGAATTAAAGAGCGATTTGTGATCGCGGGCCACTGAGGCAGACTCCATCTCCTCAGCAACCCACGACCACCACCCATCCTAGCAGTGTCTCACGGCTCTCCGAACCTCTGAGCGAAGGCTGCGGTAAGCCTCCTCATTCTCCGACATGGAATGCTGTAGCCGATGAGAGTAGCCCTGTCGTTTTTTTTTAAGTCAGCTTGAACATCTCCTCTGTCAGCCAGGGTCTCTGGGGAGGTCTGGACCACGTACCCAAAGTAGCCATTGCAGCTGCATGAGCCACAGTTCTAAACCTCGCCCATTTACCCTTGACATCAGGAGGAGTGGGGGACGATGCCAACCCCAGCTTCACACGTTGATGACATTTTGGCTTGCAAATTTCATCAGCAAGCTGAAACCATACCACTAAGGGTATGAATGGGGTTCTGGGTGTACACCCACCACCGGAGTGGAAGAATGGCAGGCGCATCTTACAGATGACAAGTCGATGGTCAGTGGGCAGATCAGCTCCACGGTAGGTCCTGGTGTCTAGGACATGGGTCCGCATCCGCTGTTCCGTCACTATGTAGTCCAGCAGATGTTCTTACTTGGACCCGGCATGCATCCATGATGTGGTGTGGATGCGCCGATGCCGGAACAGCGTGTTGGTAATTACAAGCCCATGGGCTGCACAAAAATCTAGCAGCCTCCTGCCATTGTTATTGAGCTGATCTGGCCCATGCCTTCCAATCACTCCAGACCAGGTGCCAGCATCATGACCAACTCGGGCATTGAAGTCACCCAACAAGATTACTCTATCCCGAGGGGCCACTTGTGACAGGAGGTCATAGAAGGCATCTGACTCATCGGCCTTGCCTGCATCCCTCCATGGATGTTCGTCTTCAGTGGGGGCATAATTAACCACGACCACCATTCCTCGCCTCCGGTTGATGGCAAGGCGAGTCCAAAGTAGCCTGGGACTTACAGCTTCCCACACCTCACCGCCACGCTCCCACGCCCCCTTCATTCTTTTGTTCAAAAGAAGAGCCACACCTTGTTGTTTGGCAGTCTGCTGCCCCGAGTAGAGGACTGTCCACCCCTCATGGTGGCAGGAGCCAGAGCCGGTCCACCGGACCTCCTGAATGCCACATAGATCCAGGCGGTACCGGTCCAGCTCCCGACAGAGGAGTGGCAGCCTCTCCTCCGCAGTGAGCGTTCGAACATTCCACGTGGCCACCCGTAGTGGCTTTTCGTTGTTTCTGGAGGAGCCCCGAGGGTAGATATTCAATCTCCTGGCTCCGCCAATTGGGGTTTGGCCAGGAGACGTCATAGACGCCTGGCCCCCCGGGTCCTCCGGCACAAGCTTATTAGTTATATATTTCAGTTTAACTCGTGGTTTAGTGGTAATTAATTGAAGGTGGAGGGGTTACCAGCCCCTCGCACCTGTCCAGAGCCCCCGTTTAGCCCCTGTGGTGGACACATATGCCATGAGGGGAGGAGCCAATCAAAATTGGATCTCCCCCCACAGCACTGTCCACGACAGAGTTGCCCGTCCGGCACCGCGAGGAGGTAGGGGGTTGTTTTGCCGGACTACACACACACACAGTGACACACACACACAGTGACACACACACACAGTGACACACACACACAGTGACACACAAAGATCAAACAAAGATCCCCCATATAGCCTTAACAGACTGTAGGGGCAAGTGCTGTTAGCGAGCACCTATGAAGGCCGGAACGGTACAAGAGGGGGTGGGTGGCCAGCACCACGCCCGACCGCCTTTGTCTCCCTAGTGGCAATGTTTACACACCGCACCAGGTACTCATTTGAGGCTGAGTCGACCTAAGGGAGGCCCGGGACCGGTTCAGATAATCGTCACTGGTGTTGGCCGTGAGCGGGAATCGAACCCGTGTCGCCGGGTTCATAGCGCAGCGCGCTAACCGCTACACTATCGCTCCCCACAGTGACACACACACACAGTGACACACACACACACAGTGACACACAGTGACACACACACAGTGACACACACAGTGACACACACACAGTGACACACACAGTGACACACACACAGTGACACACACACACAGTGACACACACACACAGTGACACACACACAGTGACACACACACAGTGACACACACACAGTGATACACACACACAGTGATACACACACACAGTGACACACACACACAGTGACACACACACAGTGACACACACAGTGACACACACACAGTGACACACACACACACAGTGACACACACACACAGTGACACACACAGTGACACACACACAGTGACACACACACACACAGTGACACACACACACAGTGACACACACACAGTGACACACACAGTGACACACACAGTGACACACACACACACAGTGACACACACACAGTGACACACACACACAGTGACACACACACAGTGACACACACACACACAGTGACACACACACAGTGACACACACACACAGTGACACACACACAGTGACACACACACACAGTGACACACACACACACAGTGACACACACACACAGTGACACACACAGTGACACACACACAGTGACACACACACACACACAGTGACACACACACAGTGACACACACACAGTGACACACACAGTGACACACACAGTGACACACACACACACAGTGACACACACACAGTGACACACACACACAGTGACACACACACAGTGACACACACACACACAGTGACACACACACAGTGACACACACACACAGTGACACACACACAGTGACACACACACAGTGACACACACAGTGACACACACACACACACAGTGACACACACACAGTGACACACACACAGTGACACACACACAGTGACACACACACAGTGACACACACACACAGTGACACACACACAGTGACACACACACAGTGACACAGACAGTGACACACACACAGTGACACACACACACAGTGACACACACACAGTGACACACACACAGTGACACACACACACAGTGACACACACACACACAGTGACACACACACAGTGACACACACACACAGTGACACACACACAGTGACACACACACACAGTGACACACACACACACAGTGACACACACACACAGTGACACACACAGTGACACACACACAGTGACACACACACACACACAGTGACACACACACAGTGACACACACACAGTGACACACACAGTGACACACACAGTGACACACACACACACAGTGACACACACACACAGTGACACACACACAGTGACACACACACACACAGTGACACACACACAGTGACACACACACACAGTGACACACACACAGTGACACACACACAGTGACACACACAGTGACACACACACACACACAGTGACACACACACAGTGACACACACACACAGTGACACACACACAGTGACACACACACACAGTGACACACACACAGTGACACACACACAGTGACACACACACACAGTGACACACACACAGTGACACACACACAGTGACACAGACAGTGACACACACACAGTGACACACACACACAGTGACACACACACACACAGTGACACACACACAGTGAATCTATCTCCCAAGTCCCTCTCCTCCCATATTTGATTTAAAACATTTTTTTGACGCACCTCTTGAGTTTACCTTTTTCTCTCTCGCAAACTTAAATTTGTTGCCGCGTTATCAACCTCCATGAACGATCGAGCGAACGAATGTGACGGCGTGCTGCGTGTGCCTGCTTCTTCTTCCTCGGCGTTCCCAGCACCAAGGAGCTCCTCCGTGGGCCGTGAGCGATCGAGGACCCCGCTGCTCTCCGAGGCGTCCGCGCTGCCCTCACGAGGTGCCCGTTTATTTTTTATTGATGCACCGGGCGTTCTTTCCACCCATGGGAACTCGCCACGATGAGCAGCTTGAATTTAGACCCCCGCTTATGGGTGGGGGGGGGGGGGGTAGGTGGGGGGGGTAGGTGGGGGGGTAGGTGGGGGGGTAGGTGGGGGGGTAGGTGGGGGGACAGAGGTAGGTGGGGGGGGAGGGGTAGGTGGGGGGGTAGGTGGGGGGGTAGGTGGGGGGACAGGGGTAGGTGGGGGGAAGGGATAGGGGGGAGGGGTAGGTGGGGGGGTAGGTGGGGGGGCAGGTGGGGGGACAGGGGTAGGTGGGGGGGATGGGTAGGTGGGGGGGAGGGGTAGGTGGGGGAGAGGGGTAGGTGGGGGGAGAGGGGTAGGTGGGGGGGGAGGGGTAGGTGGGGGAGAGGGGTAGGTGGGGGGGGAGGGGTAGGTGGGGGGGAGGGGTAGGTGGGGGAGAGGGGTAGGTGGGGGAGAGGGGTAGGTGGGGGGGGAGGGGTAGGTGGGGGGACAGGGGTAGGTGGGGGGGAGAGGTAGGTAGGGGGGGAGGGGTAGGTGGGGGGGGAGGGGTAGGTGGGGGAGAGGGGTAGGTGGGGGGGGGAGGGGTAGGTGGGGGAGAGGGGTAGGTGGGGGAGAGGGGTAGGTGGGGGGGAGGGGTAGGTGGGGGGGGAGGGGTAGGTGGGGGGAGGGGTAGGTGGGGGGGAGGGGTAGGTGGGGGACAGGGGTAGGTGGGGGGGAGGGGTAGGTGGTGGGGGGAGGGGTAGGTGGGGGGACAGGGGTAGGTGGGGGGGAGGGGTAGGTGGTGGGGGGAGCGCTGAACGGTTGCCGTGAGGGGCTAAGAGGCTCCACCGTTATCTTGGAGATCTGCCTGCAAACCGGGTGACGATGCCCCCCCCTTTGTCCGGCAACTTCGATCCACCGAATCCGGGCCACCTCGAGAGCGTTCGGTAGCCAGGCGCCGCCTCGTCCCTGTGATTGTCTTGTGGCCTCGTGTCCGTGCGGGACGCGCCCTACCAGCCCAGCTTCTTAGGGGCCCGCCTGAGAACCACGCTTAATTTTCCGTCGTCTGTTGTCAGGGGCGGCGGGGGGGGGGGGTTGCTTTATCCCTCCTGTTAAGTTTTCACGTTTAAGGGGTTCTACTTTGACCGGGATTGTGATGCAAAGGGCAGTGTGTGGGGCTCATAATAATTCACAGTGAAGGTTTTTTGTTGCGTGAGATCACGTTTATTTATAAATGTGTCGTAACCCTCCACCACCCGACACGGCCAATCAGCAAAAAAAAAAGTGTCACGTTGACAAAAGACAAAAATAGTTCACGACTTTAGCCCCTCACTGGTGTGTTGAAGAGTGAATCCACAACATTTACAGTTTGAGTTGTACGACGTTTCGCTGGTAAATACATCCAGCATCATCATCGGGCAATTCGCCAGAATGGTGAAGCCCTCTCCACTTGCTCCCGGTCTTAAATAGAGCAGCAGCAGGGTGACGTCATCATTTAACTCATTTCAGGTGCAGTGATCTGAGGCGGAGTATTGTAATTATATAATCGATTGGCAATCAGTCAATGGTTATGTTTAGTACTGAGTTGTAGATTGGTAATTAGTTGTAATGCGTGTACAGGAGACTCTCGATTATCCGCGTGCGGCTTCGCCAACCAGTTCTCCTGCTGTATCTCTTCCACGTGGTGACGGTCGCTTGTGTTGCGATCGAAACGTCCTGATCTATTATATTTTATTTTATTGCCCGCGTGACTTTACTGAAAGAACAAAAGAGTACTTATCCGATTGGCGGATTTACCGTGGCACCTGGGATTTTGAGACGTATGAATAACTCGTGGATTTCCCCTTTCATCCCAAATTAATGATCTAAAGAAACAGCTGTTACATTTTTCTTGGACTTTACCGAAAGAACCAAGAATATGAATCCCTGCAGTCACGAAAGCTTTAAACCAAAAGTTATTACATTGTGTTATTCTGGGAAATGTTTATTTACAGGTCGCACACGCGATGCTTAAACCGAACATATACGCTGCTTCGGTTAATCCGAAATCAACGTGATCGCCTCTACAGTACAGTAGTTGCCATATTGTTTTACAACAGCGAGGCGGAGTTTGATGTGACGTCGATTCGCTGTGGCTCTGCTGCCATCCGCTCAGTGGGCCGAGTCTTCTGCTGCTGCTGCTGGGCAAAAGCCTTGAAGGTTTTATATCATCACTGAGCACGTGCACCATCGATCGGTCGGTAGTTCCTTAAGGAGTTCGAAATCGAATGAAGTCAGTTGCGCTTAATGTCGAGTTATTCATCTGATCGTTTATGTTGTGAGTTTTATTTTTTTACGAGACTGTGCACCGACAGAGAAACTTAAGACGTCATTTATAGCAATATTTGGTGTTTCGTTTGGCAAAGAGATCCGCGGAAAATGTTTTTGGGTTAACCGCGATTTTGAATTATCCGCGGCTGTCCCCCCCCCCCACTCGTCATTAGCATGGATAATAGAGAAGTAGACTGCTGACCATGTCAAGCCAAACGCTTTACCCGTATTCTCGTGCGGGGAAATTGAGTTTTTGAGTCCGTTTCAATGCGAGGGACAAAATAATGTTTATTTGTTTGTGTTTATCCCTTGTGATGGGTCTTTGGAGGGTGAACGTTGATATTTATTTGGGCACGGGGTGACCAATAAGGTCTGAAATGGTCTGTAATAAGGTGGCCACTGATAAGGGGTTGACAGGTTTGCTACTATATTCTTGGTTCTTTCGGTAAAGTCACCGCGTAGAAGGGAAACAATAAAATAATAAAAATATAAAACAATAAAATACTCACGACGTTTCGGCTGCAACACAAGAAGCAATCAGCATCAGGTGTGAAAACCACAGCAAGAAAATTTGAAAAAAGTGGCGATTTTTTTTAATGTTAGCACCACGGAGAGCGATTTGTCAGTTGTTCAGATGGACGATGGAGGGCCACTGAGAGGTCGTGACACACACACTTAGTGTCTTCATTACACACACACTTAGTGTCTTCATTACACACACATAGTGTCTTCATTACACACACACACTTAGTGTCTTCATTACACACACATAGTGTCTTCATTACACACACATAGTGTCTTCATTACACACACCCACTTAGTGTCTTCATTACACACACACACTTAGTGTCTTCATTACACACACACACTTAGTGTCTTCATTACACACACACACACACTTAGTGTCTTCATTACACACACACACTTAGTGTCTTCATTACACACACACACTTAGTGTCTTCATTACACACACACACTTAGTGTCTTCATTAAACACACACACACACACTTAGTGTCTTCATTACACACACACACTTAGTGTCTTCATTACACACACATAGTGTCTTCATTACACACACACACACCCACTTAGTGTCTTCATTACACACACACACTTAGTGTCTTCATTACACACACACACACACCCACTTAGTGTCTTCATTACACACACACACTTAGTGTCTTCATTACACACACATAGTGTCTTCATTACACACACACTTAGTGTCTTCATTACACACACACACACACTTAGTGTCTTCATTACACACACATAGTGTCTTCATTACACACACACACTTAGTGTCTTCATTACACACACACACACTTAGTGTCTTCATTACACACACACACACTTAGTGTCTTCATTACACACACACTTAGTGTCTTCATTACACACACACACTTAGTGTCTTCATTACACACACACACACACTTAGTGTCTTCATTACACACACACACTTAGTGTCTTCATTACACACACACACACTTAGTGTCTTCATTACACACACACACAGTGTCTTCATTACACACACACACACACTTAGTGTCTTCATTACACACACACACTTAGTGTCTTCATTACACACACACACATAGTGTCTTCATTACACACACACTTAGTGTCTTCATTACACACACACTTAGTGTCTTCATTACACACACACACTTAGTGTCTTCATTAAACACACACACTTAGTGTCTTCATTACACACACACACTTAGTGTCTTCATTACACACACACACTTAGTGTCTTCATTACACACACACACTTAGTGTCTTCATTAAACACACACACACACACTTAGTGTCTTCATTACACACACACACTTAGTGTCTTCATTACACACACACACTTAGTGTCTTCATTACACACACACTTAGTGTCTTCATTACACACACACACTTAGTGTCTTCATTACACACACACTTAGTGTCTTCATTACACACACACACTTAGTGTCTTCATTACACACACACACTTAGTGTCTTCATTACACACACACACACACACGTAGTGTCTTCATTACACACACACCCACTTAGTGTCTTCATTACACACACACACTTAGTGTCTTCATTACACACACACTTAGTGTCTTCATTACACACACACTTAGTGTCTTCATTACACACACACACACTTAGTGTCTTCATTACACACACACTTAGTGTCTTCATTACACACACACACTTAGTGTCTTCATTACACACACACTTAGTGTCTTCATTACACACACACACTTAGTGTCTTCATTACACACACACCCACTTAGTGTCTTCATTACACACACACACTTAGTGTCTTCATTACACACACACACTTAGTGTCTTCATTACACACACACTTAGTGTCTTCATTACACACACACACTTAGTGTCTTCATTACACACACACCCACTTAGTGTCTTCATTACACACACACCCACTTAGTGTCTTCATTACACACACACACAGTGTCTTCATTACACACACACACTTAGTGTCTTCATTACACACACACACTTAGTGTCTTCATTACACACACACACTTAGTGTCTTCATTACACACACACACTTAGTGTCTTCATAACACACACACACTTAGTGTCTTCATTACACACACACACTTAGTGTCTTCATCACACTCTTAATAAATCATAATAAATGTAATAAAAACACTAATGTAGACTGTGGCCTAGTTATTAAGCTTGGTAAGTGTACTGGCAGTCTATAATGTAGACTGTAGCCTGGTTATTAAGCTTGGTAAGTATACTGACAGTCTATAATGTAGACTGTAGCCTGGTTATTAAGCTGAGTGAGTGTATTGACAGTCTATAATGTAGACTGTAGCCTGGTTATTAAGCTTGGTGAGTGTACTGACAGTCTATAATGTAGACTGTAGCCTGGTTATTAAGCTTGGTAAGTGTAGTGACAGTCTATAATGTAGACTGTAGCCTGGTTATTAAGCTGAGTGAGTGTACTGACAGTCTATAATGTAGACTGTAGCCTGGTTATTAAGATTCGTGAGTGTACTGACAGTCTATAATGTAGACTGTAGACTGGTTATTAAGCTTGGTAAGTGTACTGACAGTCTATAATGTAGACTGTAGCCTGGTTATTAAGCTTGGTAAGTGTACTGACAGTCTATAATGTAGACTGTAGCCTGGTTATTAACCTGAGTGAGTGTACTGACAGTCTATAATGTAGACTGTAGACTGGTTATTAAGCTTGGTAAGTGTACTGACAGTCTATAATGTAGACTGTAGCCTGGTTATTAAGCTTGGTAAGTGTACTGACAGTCTATAATGTAGACTGTAGCCTGGTTATTAAGCTTGGTAAGTGTACTGCCAGTCTATAATGTAGACTGTAGCCTGGTTATTAAGCTTGGTAAGTGTAGTGACAGTCTATAATGTAGACTGTAGCCTGGTTATTAAGCTGAGTGAGTGTACTGACAGTCTATAATGTAGACTGTAGCCTGGTTATTAAGATTCGTGAGTGTACTGACAGTCTATAATGTAGACTGTAGACTGGTTATTAAGCTTGGTAAGTGTACTGACAGTCTATAATGTAGACTGTAGCCTGGTTATTAAGCTTGGTAAGTGTACTGCCAGTCTATAATGTAGACTGTAGCCTGGTTATTAAGCTTGGTAAGTGTAGTGACAGTCTATAATGTAGACTGTAGCCTGGTTATTAAGCTGAGTGAGTGTACTGACAGTCTATAATGTAGACTGTAGACTGGTTATTAAGCTTGGTAAGTGTACTGACAGTCTATAATGTAGACTGTAGCCTGGTTATTAAGCTTGGTAAGTGTACTGACAGTCTATAATGTAGACTGTAGCCTGGTTATTAACCTGAGTGAGTGTACTGGCAGTCTATAATGTAGACTGTAGACTGGTTATTAAGCTTGGTAAGTGTACTGACAGTCTATAATGTAGACTGTAGCCTGGTTATTAAGCTTGGTAAGTGTACTGACAGTCTATAATGTAGACTGTAGCCTGCTTATTAAGCTTGGTAAGTGTACTGCCAGTCTATAATGTAGACTGTAGCCTGGTTATTAAGCTTGGTAAGTGTAGTGACAGTCTATAATGTAGACTGTAGCCTGGTTATTAAGCTGAGTGAGTGTACTGACAGTCTATAATGTAGACTGTAGCCTGGTTATTAAGATTCGTGAGTGTACTGACAGTCTATAATGTAGACTGTAGACTGGTTATTAAGCTTGGTAAGTGTACTGACAGTCTATAATGTAGACTGTAGCCTGGTTATTAAGCTTGGTAAGTGTAGTGACAGTCTATAATGTAGACTGTAGCCTGGTTATTAAGCTGAGTGAGTGTACTGACAGTCTATAATGTAGACTGTAGCCTGGTTATTAAGATTCGTGAGTGTACTGACAGTCTATAATGTAGACTGTAGACTGGTTATTAAGCTGAGTGTACTGACAGTCTATAATGTAGACTGTAGACTGGTTATTAAGCTTGGTAAGTGTACTGACAGTCTATAATGTAGACTGTAGCCTGGTTATTAAGCTTGGTAAGTGTACTGACAGTCTATAATGTAGACTGTAGCCGGGTTATTAAGCTTGGTAAGTATACTGACAGTCTATAATGTAGACTGTAGCCTGGTTATTAAGCTTGGTAAGTGTACTGACAGTCTATAATGTAGACTGTAGCCTGGTTATTAAGCTTGGTAAGTGTACTGACAGTCTATAATGTAGACTGTAGCCTGGTTATTAAGCTTGGTAAGTGTACTGACAGTCTATAATGTAGACTGTAGCCTGGTTATTAAGCTTGGTAAGTGTACTGACAGTCTATAATGTAGACTGTAGCCTGGTTATTAAGCTTGGTAAGTGTACTGACAGTCTATAATGTAGACTGTAGCCTGGTTATTAAGCTGGGTGAGTGTACTGACAGTCTATAATGTAGACTGTAGCCTGGTTATTAAGCTTGGTAAGTGTACTGACAGTCTATAATGTAGACTGTGGCCTAGTTATTAAGCTTGGTAAGTATACTGACAGTCTATAATGTAAACTGTAACAATGGTTATTAGTGGTTATTTTTATTCACTTTATTTTTCATTATTATTTTTGTACCTACGTGACTTTACCGAAAGAACCAAAGAATATGGACACAGTTAGGAAAACAAAGAGTAATTCCTGCAGTCACGGAAGCCCCAAATCAAGTATGGACACAATTAAATTTACTATACATTATTTATCACAAGCTTTCTAATAACTGTTGATGTATCTTCAAATCTTTTGCGACTCAATGTTAACCCACTTCCCAACGTGGTATCGACCGCAAACTTGGTATACTTATGTCACACCGACGACAATAACTATATTATATCATTACAAATAGATATTTGTAAACATTATATTTGTTAAATGTTTTGTTTCGGCTGGGGTCTTAATTGTCCACGTTCAACCGACGTTGGCTGTAAATCAGCACGCGGTCCCCTTACTTTGTGGCCAAGCTTTGGGGAAACTTCCTGGAGTTGTGGAGTTTTGCCATCGCTAGCACGGTACATTTTGATTTTTTAAGCGTGTTGTTTTTATATATATGAAAAAAATATATATTTTTAAATATTACTTAATTTTTTCCTAAAATCAGGCACTCAGAGGAGCGCCTCCCTCGGACGCCTTCCATCTCGCAAGGACCCTGGCAAGGACCCACCGCAGCGGGCGTCTTCAAGCGGCAATCTCGCAAAGCAGCAGGCGCGGGCGTCCGCGGAGAAACGGCCCCGGGTGCCCAGGGAGGTTCCCGCCAAAGGTCCCTCGAAGAAAATAATAATTGGCGCGTCCGAAAGCAATCAGGCAGGGGCGTCCGACGTGGTCTCTGCCGAGGACCCCTCGGTGAAGGACCCAGCGGTGGCATGCGAAGAAAATCAGGCACAGGTGTCCGCGGACGGTAGCGAAGTAAAAAATGAAATAAAAAATGAAGAAACCTCCGAAGGATCCTCAAAGGGCTCGGGAGGAGCGTCGACAGTGGATCTCTCGAAGGACCCGACGGAGGTGTCCGGAGAGAATCCGGCACCGGGGTGCGGCGAAGTGGTCTCGAAGGACCCCTTCGTGGACCCCACGCAGTCGTCCGTGGAGGTCGCCAGGAAGTGCCTGACCAAAAACTCTGCGCGGGTGTCCAGGGAGGTTGCGAGAAAGGAGCCCGCGAGGACCCCAATGCGGGCGTCCAGGGAGCTGGCGGGGAGTGCCTGCGCGGGGGTGGGAGAGGGGCTGGGGCGACTCCTGACACCAACCATCGCCTCCATGGGCAAGACTCATCGAGCTGCCTCGCCCGGTAGCAACAACAACAACAACCACCATGACAACAACAATCACCATGACAACAACCACAACAACATCCACCATAACAACCACAACAACCACAACAACATCCACCATGACAACAACCACAACAACAACATCCACCACGACAATAACAACCACCACCACAACCACCACAACAACCACCACAACAACCACAACAACCACCACAACAACCACCACAACAACCACTACAACAACCACAACAACAACCACCACAACAACCACCACAACCACCACCACAACCACAACAACCACCACAACAACAACCACCACAACCACCACAACAACAACCACCACAACAACCACAACAACAACCACAACCACCACCACAACCACCACAACAACCACCACAACCACCACAACAACCACCACAACAACCACCACAACAACAACCACAACAACCACCACAACAACCACCACAACAACAACCACAACAACAACCACCACAACCACCACAACAACCACCACAACCACCACAACAACCACCACAACAACCACCACAACTACCAGAACCACCACAACAACTACCACCACAACAACAACATCCACCACAACAACCACCACCACAACAACAACCACCACCACAACCACCACAACAACCACCACAACAACAACCACCACCACAACAACCACCACAACAACCACAACAACAACAACCACCATAACAACCACCACAACCACAACAACAACCACCACCACAACCAACCACCACAACCAACCACCACAACCACCACAACAACAACCACCACAACAACCACAACCACCACAACCACAACAACCACCACCACAACAACCACAACCACCACAACAACCACCACCACAACCACCACAACAACCACCACCACAACCACCACAACAACCACCACAACCACCACAAAAACCACCACAACAACCACCACAACAACAACCACAACAACCACCACAACAACCACCACAACAACAACCACAACAACAACCACCACAACCACCACAACCACCACAACAACCACCACAACCACCACAACAACCACCACAACTACCAGAACCACCACAACAACTACCACCACAACAACAACATCCACCACAACAACCACCACCTCAACCACCACCACAACAACAACCACCACCACAACCACCACAACAACCACCACAACAACAACCACCACCACAACAACCACCACAACAACCACAACAACAACAACCACCATAACAACCACCACAACCACAACAACAACCACCACCACAACCAACCACCACAACCAACCACCACAACCAACCACCACAACCACCACAACAACAACCACCACAACAACCACAACCACCACAACCACAACAACCACCACCACAACAACCACAACCACCACAACAACCACCACCACAACCACCACAACAACCACCACCACAACCACCACAACCACAACAACAACCACCACAACAACAACCACCACAACCACCACCACAACCACAACAACCACCACAACAACAACCACCACAACCACCACCACAACCACCACAACAACCACCACAACCACCACAACAACCACCACAACAACAACCATCACAACAACCACAACCACCACAACCACAACAACCACCACCACAACAACCACAACCACCACAACAACCACCACAACCACCACAACAACCACCACAATAACCACCACAACTACCACAACCACCACAACAACTACCACCACAACAACAACATCCACCACAACAACCACCACCACAACCACCACAACAACAACCACCACCACAACCACCACAACAACCACCACAACCACAACAACAACCACCACCACAACCACCACCACAACCAACCACCACAACAACAACCACCACAACAACCACAACCACCACAACCACAACAACCACCACCACAACCACCACCACAACAACCACAACCACCACAACCACAACAACCACCACCACAACCACCACAACAACCACCACCACAACCACCACCACAACAACCACCACAACAACCACAACCACCACAACCACAACAACCACCACCACAACAACCACAACCACCACAACCACAACAACCACCACCACAACCACCACCACAACCAACCACCACAACAACAACCACCACAACAACCACAACCACCACAACCACAACAACCACCACCACAACCACCACCACAACAACCACAACCACCACAACAACCACCACCACAACCACAACAACCACCACAACAACCACAACCACCACAACCACAACAACCACCACCACAACAACCACAACCACAACCACCACCACAACCACCACCACAACCACCACCACAACCACCACCACGACATCGCCACTTTGACTAAGGCGTGGTGCTGGCCACCCACCCCCTCGTGTGCTGTGCTTCTCGCTGACACCACTCGCCCCAACAGTCTGTTAAAGCTATGGGGCCGTCCATAAATGACGTCACGCACCTAGAGGTGGGGGAGGGGGTGACAGACATTTGTGACGATGTGTGACGAGGGGGGGAGGGGGGTTGTTTGAGAAATGTGACGTCACATCAAAATGCGCAACTTTAAATAAATATAGACAACACGTTCTACTTAATTAAATAGACTTTGTTAATAAATGTTTTCTCCTACAACATCAGAGTGCAGCGCCACATTAAATACGCACTACAATGACAACAATAGTTTACAGCCATTTGAAGCATGTTTTATATATTTTTTTGGGGGGGGCAGAGCTTTGTGACGTCATATTTGAGGGGGGTTTGACTTTTTGTGACGTCATATTTGAGGGGGGTGGGTCTGACTTTTTGTGACGTCATATTTGAGGGGGCGGGTTTGACTTTTTGTGACGTCATATTTGATGGGGGGTCTGACTTTTTGTGACGTCATGTTTGAGGGGGGGTCTGACTTTTTGTGACGTCATATTTGAGGGGGGGGTCTGACTTTTTGTGACGTCATATTTGAGGGGGGGTCTGACTTTTTGTGACGTCATATTTGAGGGGGGGTCTGACTTTTTGTGACGTCATATTTGAGGGGGGTCTGACTTTTTGTGACGTCATATTTGAGGGGGGGAGTGACTTTTTGTGACGTCATATTTGAGGGGGGTCTGACTTTTTGTGACGTCATATTTGAGGGGGGTCTGACTTTTTGTGACGTCATATTTGAGGGGGGTCTGACTTTTTATGACGTCATATTTGAGGGGGGGTCTGACTTTTTGTTACGTCATATTTGAGGGGGGGGGGGTCTGACTTTTCGTGACGTCATATTTGAGGGGGGTCTGACTTTTTGTGACGTCATATTTGAGGGGGGGGGTCTGACTTTTCGTGACGTCATATTTGAGGGGGGGTCTGACTTTTCGTGACGTCATATTTGAGGGGGGGTCTGACTTTTTGTGACGTCATGTGACGGGGGGGGTAAAAAAATCGTCCATAATCGCGTGACGTCATTTGTGTATGGCCCCTTCCACGGCAGGGGAATCTTAGCCTTCGACTGCAACTTGGAACATTGACGGCAGACATCGCTGGTGCAGCAACAATTACAACCCAAGACAACAACAACAACAACAACTATGTACAGCAACAACCTTGACTTCTGCTGCACAAACTTACAGCAACAACAGCAGCAGTAGCAGCAGCAGCAGTGATCGTGTCGGTGATGATGAGTGGTGACGATGATGATGATGATATAGTAATAGGTTTTTACCCTTTTAACTGGCACAAAAACTGACACCTTTATTCAAGGCATCATGTTTGCAATAGCCACAACACAAGCAGTGGAAATGCAAACAAAAAAAGAGAACTCTGATAATGATATTGGCACTGTCCTTGAATTTGATTGGCCCACACCCGAGACAGCTTTTCTTAGAGCCCTTAAGTCTCCACTGGTGTTGGACCAGAAGATGCCAAAAGGCGTACAACTTTTAGTGCCCGTTAAAAGGGTAAAACCTATTCCTATATCTTGTTACTGGCAAAGGAGGTCTCAGTGATGATGATAATGACTGACTAACAATGTCACGTGTCTCCCCCCCCCCCCCCCCGTGTCTCCCCCCCCCCCCCCCCGTGTCTCCCCCCCCCCCCCCCGTGTCTCCCCCCCCCCCGTGTATCCCCCCACCCGTGTCCCCTCCCCCCCCCCGTGTCCCCCCCCCCCCCCGTGTCTCCCCCCCCCCCCGTGTCTCCCAGTCTGTCCCCGTTCCCCCGTTCCACCACCCCACTCCCCGTTTCTCCGCAGCCGGAGCCTGGACCGGGCCCCCGGTCGCCGTGGCAACTCCCCCGGTCGCCGTGGCAACTCCCCCGCTCGCCACGGCAACCCCGTGCTTCTGATTCAAGCGGTGGCGTCGCCCACGGCAACGGTCGCGGCCCAGGTCTCCAAGGCTCTGTACAGCCCGCCGAGCAGCAACAGCCAAAACAACAGCAACAACAGCAGCCGAGACCGTAGCAACAGCCAGAGTAGCAAGAGCTGCAAAAGTAACAGCTGCACAACAACCACCGCCATCACCGTTGGCAACGGAGCCACCGACAACAGCGCTACAGCCACCCCCACGACAGCCAACACCCCGAGCAGCAACGCTGAGAAGAACAGTCGGACGGCAACCGCAAGCAGGGACGGTGCCGATGGCAACGGCCCTACAACTACCACCGCTAGCGACAGCCAAACTACTGGCAAGGACAGTCAGACGACAACAACAACCGCAGCTACCACCAGCAGCAGCAGCAGCAATAAAATGACAGACGGCAACAGTCAGATGGCAACAACAACCACGGCTACCACCAGCAACAACAGTCCCACTTCAATCACCAGCACCGCCAGCAGCAGCAACAACAACAACCAAGTTCCAAACGACAGCCAGACAACAGCCGCATCAGCCACAACTTCCACGACTGGCAATAACCAAACCGGCAAGAGGAACAGTCGCACAACACCCTCTGTCACCACGGCTACCGCCACCACCACCACCACCACGACAGCCACCACCAGGAGCGACAACCGAGCCCCTGTCAAGAACAGTCACACGAGAGCCAACACCACCACCACAACCACAGCAACTCGTAGCAACAGTCGACAGCAACAGCCCAAAAAGACGCCTGGCAATGGCGAGGCCAACAGGCAGCCCGGTAGCCAAGGGAACAGTCAGACCAGCAGAGGCCGTAGCAACACCCGTGACGACGACAACAGTAGTCAGACAGCTGACAACAGACAAACAAAGGGGCGGGCTAAGGGCGGCAGCGTTGCCCGTAGCAACAGTCGGACTGTCAGGCGGGCTGACGGCAAAGCCGACAGGCAGGCTGACGGTCAGTCTGACTTACAGGCAGACAGCCAGAGTAGTCACCCAACTGACTCACAGGCAGACAGCCAGAGTAGTCACCCAACTGACTCACAGGCAGACAGTCAGAGTAGTCACCCAACTGACTTACAGGCAGACAGCCAGGGTAGTCACCCAACTGACTTACAGGCAGACAGCCAGAGTAGTCACCCAACTGACTCACAGGCAGACAGCCAGAGTAGTCACCCAGCTGACTCACAGGCAGACAGCCAGAGTAGTCACCCAACTGACTTACAGGCAGACAGCCAGAGTAGTCACCCAGCTGACTTACAGGCAGACAGCCAGAGTAGTCACCCAACTGACTTACAGGCAGACAGTCAGAGTAGTCACCCAACTGACTCACAGGCAGACAGTCAGGCTAGTCACCCTACTGACTTACAGGCAGACAGCCAGACTAGTCACCCAACTAACTTACAGGCAGACAGCCAGAGTAGTCACCCAGCTGACTCACAGGCAGACAGTCAGAGTAGTCACCCAACTGACTTACAGGCAGACAGCCAGAGTAGTCACCCTACTGACTTACAGGCAGACAGCCAGAGTAGTCACCCAACTGACTTACGGGCAGACAGCCAGAGTAGTCACCCAACTGACTTACAGGCAGACAGCCAAAGTAGTCACCCAGCTGACTTACAGGCAGACAGCCAGAGTAGTCACCCTACTGACTTACAGGCAGACAGCCAGAGTAGTCACCCTACTGACTTACAGACAGACAGCCAGAGTAGTCACCCAGCTGACTCACAGGCAGACAGCCAGAGTAGTCACCCAACTGACTTACAGGCAGACAGCCAGAGTAGTCACCCAACTGACTCACAGGCAGACAGTCAGAGTAGTCATCCGACTGACTTACAGGCAGACAGCCAGAGTAGTCACCCAGCTGACTTACAGGCAGACAGCCAGAGTAGTCACCCAGCTGACTTACAGGCAGACAGCCAGAGTAGTCACCCGACTGACTTACAGGCAGACAGCCAGAGTAGTCACCCAACTGACTTACAGGCAGACAGCCAGAGTAGTCACCCAACTGACTTACAGGCAGACAGCCAGAGTAGTCACCTGACTGACTTACAGGCAGACAGCCGGAGTAGTCACCCAACTGACTCACAGGCAGACAGCCAGAGTAGTCACCCAGCTGACAGGCCGACTAACAATCATTGCGACGCACAGGCAGGCTGCGAGGCCTACAGCCCAAACGGCGACAGCCAAAGCAACAGTCAGACAAAGAGTGAAACTGGGGAGAGCCAAAGCGACATCCGAGACAACAGCCGGATGGACAGCCGCACTCACGGCCAGCCCGATAGTCGACATGGCGACGGTTGTAGCAGCAGCAGCAATAGCAGCCAGACCGTCGGCCAGACAGGTGGCCAAAATCAGAACAGTCTGACCAACAGCAGCCTCATCGACAGCCAAAGCAGCAGCAGCAGCGGTGAGGCTTACAGCCAGGGCAACAGTAGCCACGGCAACAGCAGCCACGGCAACAGTAGCCATGGCAACAGTAGCCACGGCAACAGCAGCCACGGCAACAGTAGCCACGACAACAGTAGCCACGGCAACAGCAGCCACGGCAACAGTAGCCACGGCAACAGCAGCCGCGGCAACAGCAGCCGCGGCAACAGCAGCCGCGGCAACAGCAGCCGCGGCAACAGCAGCCGCGGCAACAGCAGCCGCGGCAACAGCAGCCGCGGCAACAGCAGCCACGGCAACAGCAGCCACGGCAACAGCAGCCACGGCAACAGTAGCCACGGCAACAGCAGCCACGGCAACAGTAGCCATGGCAACAGCAGCCACGGCAACAGTAACCACAGCAACACCAATAACAACAACCACGTGAGCAGCCACAGCGGCGACAGTCAGACTGACAGCTGTGATGGCAACAGCACGTCCATAGCCATCAGCCCTAGCAACAGCCCTAGAAACTGGCCTAGCAACTGCCCTAGCAACTGCCCTAGCAACAGCCCTAGCAACAGCCCTAGCAACAGCCCTAGCAACTGCCCGAGCGACAAGGGTCAGAACAACACTCCGAGCGTTTTGCAGGCTGACATGGAAACAGGCGGAGGGTTTGTGGGTGAGAATGGAGAGGTGGTTGCCATGGAGGTGGCGAAGCTGGCTGCTCTGGAGATGGAGTCAGCGGTCGCCTTGGAGACGACGAAGAATTCGGTTGCCGCGGAGATGGACAAGACGGTTGCCGCGGAGATGGACAAGACGGTTGCCGTGGAGATGGACAAGACAGTTGCCATGGAGATGGACAAGATGGTTGCCGTGGAGATGGACAAGACGGTTGCCGCGGAGATGGACAAGACGGTTGCCATGGAGATGGACAAGACGGTTGCCGCGGAGATGGACAAGACGGTTGCCGTGGAGACGGGGAGGGCGGCCATCTTGAAAGCAGCACAAAGAGATGAGCAGGAGAGGAGAGAGAGGAAGCAGGTAGCGGGACACGGAGACACGGGGACAACACGGGGACAACACGGAGACAACACGGGGACAACACAGACACGGGGACAACACGGAGACACGGGGACAACACGGGGACAACACGGGGACAACACGGAGACGACACAGGGACAACAAGGAGACACGGGGACGACACGGAGACACGGGGACAACACGGGGACAACACGGGGACAACACGGGGACAACACGGAGACACGGGGACAACACGGGGACAACACGGAGACAACACGGGGACAACACAGACACGGGGACAACACGGAGACAACACGGAGACACGGGGACAACACGGAGACACGGGGACAACACGGAGACACGGGGACAACACGGAGACACGGGGACACGGGGACAACACAGAGACAACACGGGGACAACACAGAGACACGGGGACAACACGGGGACAACACGGGGACAACACGGAGACACGGGGACAACACGGAGACACGGGGACAACACGGGGACAACACGGAGACACGGGGACAACACGGAGACACGGGGACAACACGGAGACACGGGGACACGGGGACAACACGGGGACGACACGGGGACACGGGGACAACACGGAGACAACACGGGGACAACACAGAGACACGGGGACAACACGGGAACAACACGGAGACACGGGGACAACACGGAGACACGGGGACAACACGGGGACAACACGGAGACACGGGGACAACACGGAGACACGGGGACAACATGGAGACACGGGGACATGGAGACAACACGGAGACACGGGGACAACATGGGGACACGCGGACACGGGGATATGGAGACACGGGGACACGGACACGCATACACGGGGACAAACACGGGGATACGGAGACACTGGGACACGGAGACACTGGGACACGGACATACGGACACACATACACGGGGACAAACACTTGGACGTGGGGATGCACATGTACACAGTGCAATGTACTTGTGCACACGTTTCAATTCTCATGATGTTCTAGAATGTCTAGAGAGCTGAGTGACTAATCTGTGACTAAAGTGTGTCTGTGTCTCCCTCCACCTCCCCGTGTCTCGCTCCCCGTGTCTCCCTCCACCTCCCCGTGTCTCCCTCCCCCTCCCCGTGTCTCCCTCCACCTCCCCGTGTCTCCCTCCACCTCCCCGTGTCTCCCTCCACCTCCCCGTGTCTCCCTCCCCCTCCCCGTGTCTCCCTCCCCCTCCCCGTGTCTCCCTCCACCTCCCCGTGTCTCCCTCCACCTCCCCGTGTCTCTCTCCCCCTCCCCGTGTCTCCCTCCCCCTCCCCGTGTCTCCCTCCCCCTCCCCGTGTCTCCCTCCTCCCCGTGTCTCCCTCCACCTCCCCGTGTCTCTCTCCCCGTGTCTCCCTCCCCCTCCCCCTGTCTCCCTCCTCCCCGTGTCTCCCTCCACCTCCCCGTGTCTCCCTCCTCCTTGTGTCTCCCTCCCCGTGTCTCCCTCCCCCTCCCCGTGTCTCCCTCCCCCTCCCCGTGTCTCCCTCCCCCTCCCCGTGTCTCCCTCCACCTCCCCGTGTCTCTCTCCCCCTCCCCGTGTCTCCCTCCCCCTCCCCGTGTCTCCCTCCCCCTCCCCGTGTCTCCCTCCACCTCCCCGTGTCTCCCTCCCCCTCCCCGTGTCTCCCTCCCCCTCCCCGTGTCTCCCTCCCCCTCCCCGTGTCTCCCTCCCCCTCCCCGTGTCTCCCTCCTCCTCCCCGTGTCTCAGCGTCTCGAGCAAATCATGTCCCGGACTCGGAAGAATCACGGACACAGACGGAGGCAGGAGACTGTCCCCGTGTCCCCCTGTCAGCCTGTGTCCCCGTGTCCACCTGTGGATACCTAGTCGCAGTGTTTAGAGACACGGACACGTACACAGACACAAAGACGGACACACACAGACGCTGCCTACCAAGTGCTCAAATAAGCTTTGAGAGATGCTTGGAGTTACACTGACAGACAGAAATAGGAACATGGGTTTTAGAGAACACACAGAGGGTACAGACATCGTCATCACCATCCTCATCACTGGTCTCCATCCAGCAGTAGATAGACATGTTGATGAAGATTACACTGAGAGGTAGAGAGAGGAACATGTGGATTACAGAGACCCATAAACTCATCACACAGAGACCCACAGACGCACACAGACACCCACAGACTCGTCACACAGAGACCTATAGACTCATCGCACAGACACCCAAAGACTCGTCACACAGAGGCCCACAGATTCTCCACACACAAATCCATAAACTCATCACACAGAGACCCACAGACGCACACAGACACCCACAGACTCGTCACACAGAGACCTATAGACTCATCGCACAGACACCCAAAGACTCGTCACACAGAGACCCACAGATTCTCCACGCACAAATCCATAGACTCACTACACAGAGACCCAGAGACGGTCAAGATTAATAAGGACCGAGCATTCACATCGGCCCGTGGTGCGGGAACCACGTGGATAGTTGAGCACCATCCTGGGGTCGCGATGCACAGGTGCCGGCAGGCTCTACCTCCCCTAGGTCGACTTGACCTCAAATGCGTACCTGGTGTGGTGTGTAAACATCGCCACTGGAGAGACAAAGGCGACCGGCCGTGGTGTTGGCCACCCACCCCCTCATGTGCCGGGCCGGCCTTCATTGGTGCTGCTACTCGCTACTAACAGCACTTGCCCTACAGTCTGTTACAGGCTGCACGGGGGATCTTTGTCTTTGGTGGTAGCGGTTGGCACTACGCTGCGCTACGAAGCCCGTAAAAGCCCGAGTTCGATTCCCGCTCACGGCCACCGCCATCAACACCGGCGATAGCGATTATCTGAACCGGTCGTGGGCCTCCCCCTAGGTGGACACAGCCTCAAATGAAGTACCTGGTGAGGTGTGAAGTAAACGTCGCCACGAGGGAGACGAAGACGGCCATCCCTGGTGCTGGCCGCCCACCCCGTCGTGTGCCGCAGTGGCAGCCTTCATAGCTGCCGCTGCTCGCGAACAGCCCCAAACAGTCTGCTACAGGCTTACATGGGTTACGCCGTGGGTACTTGAACCTCTTCAAAGCTGTGTCTGGCCAGCGTGAAAGAGTAGGCTCAGTGTCTCGTGGGGCTCACTGGAGCTGGTCAAACCCTGACAGTGTTGTTCATGTCATGGCTTAGCAGGTTAGTGGCCGACGATCAGCTGTATCGCTCGTTTAGTGGAGGCCCTGCCACCACCGGCATTGACAGCGGGCAATTGCAGGGCTTTCACCTTTGCCTTCCATTACCTTTACCCACCAGCATGTACCATGACGGTGTTATTATTATTGAAGTGTTGTTGACAGTGTCTACACAAGTTAGTACTTATTGTATCGACCCCTTGGAAAGGGGTGGTGATAATGCATATTCTACTTTTGTAAGGGATGCAGCAAACCCGGAATCGGCATCTTTATTTGTCCTGGAGAAATCCGATGAGCTTTGAAGCGCTTTATCACGGATGTCCAGTAGGGGAGGTTCAGAACGTCACAATAACAATACCAAAAACGATAGGAGTCAAACGTATAGGAAAGGTAAGCAAATCTCTCCAAATAAACTAAAACCAAACGACCTGGCCACAGATGATAGCTCGGCTAAATGGCTTATAGTAATAGGTTTTTACCCTTTTTAACTGGCAGAAAAACTGACACCTTTATTCATGGCATCATGTTTGCAATAACCACAACACAGGTAGTCAAAATGCAAACAAAAGAGACAACTCTGATAATAATATTGGCACTGTCCTTGAATTTGATTGGTCCACACGCCTTTTTGTGTCATTTGGTCCAACACCAGTGGAGACTAGGCTCTAAGAAAAGCCGTCTCAGGTGTGGACCAATCAAATTCAAGGACAGTGCATATTATTATTAGAGTTGTCTCCTTTGTTTGCATTTTGACTGCTTGTGTTGTGGTTATTGCAAACATGATGCCTTGAATAAAGGTGTCAGTTTTTGTGCCAGTTAAAAAGGGTAAAACCTATTACTATATCTTGTTACTGGCAAAGGAGGTCTCATAATGCAAATGGCTTATCTTGTGAAAATTTATAGCAGCTAAGTTATCTAATCTGAATGCGTGCTGTCGGTTCTGAATGTGGAGGGGGAAAACGTCGGAGCGGTGTGCAGAAGAAAAAAAAAAGCACCTGAAGTTTATTATATAACATATCTTAGGAAATGAGTAGGTTTTTAATTTCTTTCTGAATGGGAGAAGTTAATTTACTAAGTGCCTTAGCGTGAGGTAGGCAAGGTTTCGTATACGCGTATGTGTGTGCGTGTTGAACTTGTTTCGCACCGAACGTAGCCAAACCCGCTCTTTGGAGGTTTGGGGGGGAAGGACAAAAAAACAAAACCGAAACACAAATCAGTTCGAGAAAAATATCAGAAGGAAGAACGTTCCAGACGGCCGCAGAAGCGCGTCTAAAAAGCGCGCGATGCGCTTGACCGTCTTTGTTGGATGGTTAGCCCAGAGCCGCTGCTGCGAGGACGACCGCAGTTTGCGGGTTGGTTTTTGCTCCTCGAGATCAACTCGGTGCAGGCAGTCCTCTACTTACGACGACGATGACCCCCATCGTACGTAAAAAAAATATCGTGTAAGTCGAAGGTGGCCCTAGCCTAGCCAAGGAGTACAAGGCAGCGTCCCGACGTACAGTGTCGTACCTTGTGGTACGCTGCTGTACGTTTGCCTGCCGCGCGAAATTTAAAATATTTAACGATTTTGTCGTATCGCCATCGTGAGATTGAAATGTCGTAAGTCTGACCATCGTAACTCGGGGACTACCTGTGTTATGCACAGGGGCGGAGCCAGGATTTTGACTTTGGGGGGGGGGGTGGCTGACTTCAGTATTCTGAGATATCTCAGTGTGTTTATGTTTTACAATGGGCGCCACAAATGTTTAAAACGAATTTCATTGGATTTGAACGCGGAGTTTATGAATAGGTCGGAGCCGCCGATGTGGCCGATAAGTTCGATAAGTTCGAAAGGCTGCCGCTCAAGCAGCCTGCGGGGCAGCACACGAGGTGGCAGCCTGCAGGGCAGCACACAAGGTAGCAGCCTGCAGGGCAGCACACAAGGTAGCAGCCTGCAGGGCAGCACACAAGGTAGCAGCCTGCAGGGCAGCACACAAGGTAGCAGCCTGCAGGGCAGCACACAAGGTAGCAGCCTGCAGGGCAGCACACAAGGTGGCAGCACACAAGGTAGCAGCCTGCAGGGCAGCACACAAGGTAGCAGTTTGCAGGGCAGCACACAAGGTGGCAGCACACAAGGTAGCAGCCTGCAGGGCAGCACACAAGGTAGCAGCCTGTAGGGCAGCACACAAGGTGGCAGCCTGCAGGGCAGCACACAAGGTGGCAGCCTGCAGGGCAGCACGAGGTGGCAGCCTGCAGGGCAGCACACGAGGTGGCAGCTTGCAGGGCAGCACGAGGTGGTAGCACGAGGTGTCAGCTTGCAGGGCAGCACAAGGTGGCAGCCTGCAGGGCAGCACACAAGGTGGCAGCCTGCAGGGCAGCACACGAGGTGGCAGCCTGCAGCGACGATTCGTTAAGCGACGATTCGTTAAGCGACGGCTCGTTAACAGGGGTGCTCGTTAACAGGGGTTCTACTTGTACGTTAAACTTGAAACTTCGTATTATTTTTTGCGCATTTAGATTCCTCCTCCGCCCCCTCCCCCCCTCCCCGTAATGTGAGACGCTGTGCTTACTGAGCTTAGGTCTAAATCCGGCCCAGCTTACCAGCAGCGTTTACTCGTTTATTAAGTTTGTTGATCTAGATGAAGTTTGTTGATCTAGATGAAGTTTGTTGATCTAGATGAAGTTTGTTGCTGAGCCAGCTGGCCAGCATTGGGCAAAACCTAGCCCACTTTTCACCCAGGCAACTGGAGGGCACATACCATGAAAGTATTATTATGATTTTTGAAGTATTGTTGACCGCAGCGAGAGACGTTAGTACTTAATTTCAGCTACCCTTGGAAGAAGGGTCGTGATAATAGGTGTCATTTATAAAGAACCTTTGTGCAAGGTAGTCGAGGCGTCGTGTGTGTACATATCACGGAAATACACAACTCGAGCCTAGCAGAGGAGAAACTTAAGCAGGCATTGTGTAGGGTGGTACAGATGTCTCGTGACCCACATTTAAATCTCTAAAACGTAATATTTTTGGATAAACGATGACCTCAGAAGGTCACCCAATGCTTCGTCCAAAATTTATCCCGTGCAAAAAACGGCGTTTATGCCCATCTCAGCATTGTCCATTTCGTGGTGGTGCTTCTCTCTTAAAATCTTTCCCAGGAATCCTTTCAGTCATCTTTCATGGTTTTTTTCGGTTTTGTCGTCTTTCGTACGGCTGCTGATGTCGCTGCAGATGAACAATCACGACTTCACGTTGAGGTGGTAAAGCCAGACAACCGCTTCAGGAGCCGCGGAGTTTATCGCCGCTGTGATGTCTCCTCCGTATTTCTGGATCGGGCATCGCGTCCTTATACGTTTGTACGGCCTGTTCCGGATTGACCCACAGTCGCACATTCTTTGGAGAGTTTTTCATTTTCCATTTGTGCATCAGGTGTGCTCACCCGCCACGGTTTGTGCAGTGGTGATGCGGTTTAGGGGATGGCCCATTATGAGCCCATACACAAGTAGTAATATGAACCCGTGTCGGCCATCCGAAATAAATCGGTAAGGTTTATTTAAAAGATAAATTAGAGAAAAATGTTAGGGGCCAGTTAATGGTGGGGGGGGGGGGGGGGTCACAAGACATCAGGCCCACCGCGTAGAAGTTGACTCATTCATAATAAAGGTTTTTGTTGGGTGAGATCGCGTTATTTATAAATGTGTCGTAACCCTCCACCACCCGACACGGCCAATCAGCAAAAAAGTGTCACGTTGACAAAAGACAAATAATTCACTACTTTAGCCCACCGGTGTGTTGAAGAGTGAATCCACAACATTTACAGTTTGAGTTGTACGACGTTTCGCTGGTAATTACATCCAGCATCATCGGGCAATTCGCCAGAATGGTGGATGTAATGCCCGATGATGATGCTGGATGTAATTACCAGCGGAACGTCGTACAACTCAAAGCTGTCAATGTTGTGGATTCACTCTTCAACACACCGGTGAGGGGCTAAAGTCGTGAACTATTTTTGTCTTTTGTCAACGTGACACTTTTTTTTGCCGATTGGCCGTGTCGGGTGGTGGAGGGTTACGACACATTTATATATAACGCGATCTCACCCAACAAAAACCTTTATTATGAATAATATTGGTCGCGAAAGCCTGCGTGTTAAGTTGAATCATCCGAGAAGGGAAAGCAGGACAGAGTGAAACGCACGGGCCCAGGTGGGGTTCAAACCACGTGACCATCGTCACCGCTTCACCAACAACGCTGGGCAGGGCCAGGCCCGGATCGTGACAATGTTGTGGGCCCTTAAACAATGTGAGTTCTTAAGAAGCCCCCGTTGAGGAATGCCCGTATGTTGTTATCACTTCGGAATGAAAACAGCGATTTTAGAGTGTGTGTTTTTTGACCCCATCTTTATTTTCCCATCGGATTATGTTAAACTGGAAACTTTTTTTTCTGTTTTTTTTGTTCCCTCTTCGTATTTAGAGCCCCCCCCCCCCCCCCCTCGTCTTGTGAGGTGCCTAGAAGCTGTGCTAGCTGAGGCCTAAATCGGGCCCTCGGTGCAGGACGAAGGCTTCGGGGATGGCCACGAGTACGGGTGGGGGGGGAGTCAGTAAATGGGCGAGGTGATCCGGGTTGACCATTTGTGAGAGCCTCATTGATCAAAAGGATAATCTAAAAAAAAAAAGCCTTCAGTGAAATTTGCAGGAATCGGGCCGGAGACGAGAGGCCGAGACCCGGGGGGCTAAAGGTCCGCACGCCGTCGTTCTTCATTGATAGGATTTTGGCGGCTTTAACAGGGGGCGGATGGAGTTTCATTTTTCTCCCGAGGAAGTGAAAATGTCAATATGCAATGAGCACCAGGTCAAGACCATGAAAGAGTGGTCTTACAAATGTTAGTTATTGAATTATCCAACCTCACAGGGAATGATGGTGATGGACAGTGAAACTGCAAAACAAATATCACATTTACCAAGGCAGCAAAATTCCGATTAGCACGGTTGGCTATGTACGGTGGCGAAATAAGTTCATGATCCACATATCCATACTCTTTGGTTCTTTCGGTAAAGTCACGTAGGTAGAAAAAAATATATCACGACGTTTCGATCGCAACACAAAAGCAATCGCCGTCAGGTGAGACAAATATGGTTGACATTGCAAACGCAACGTGGTTCCAGAGATATGACAATCACAGACCCCCCCCTCCTCCTCCCCCACAACAGGTCGGGACAATGCCATGAAGAGGGAGAAGAGTCATTTTGAAAGTTCTGAAGAAGGGTATCCCTCGATTTACTGAAAGGGGGGGGGGGGGTTCGTTCCTCAAAGAATGCGCGCAAAAAACGAAATGTTGCCAATCGGGAACGGCTTGTCCCATCCATTTCACATACTAACACGTGTGGATGTGTTTCTGACGGTCATTCCAACTCTTTAATACAGATCTCAAAATATAAATACACAGATATCACTTTTCACAGCTCAAAAAACGGTAATAAAAAACAAGCATTAAAACGATAATATATTTTTGTTTAAACGAGCATAACCTCTTCAGGGACCTCGCTAAACGATCTGCTGCACGCTGGGATGACTGGGACAGGTGATGTGGAGGCGCCGCGGATTGGAATCTTGATTTAAACTGGAGGAGGAGGAGGAATCTGAAGGTCTATGAAGCTCATCGTCACAGATGTCCAGTGGCGGATGGATGACGGCAAGCCTCCCCCGGGTGGAATCTTGTTAGACGATCTCGTGGCGCGTGGGGAAAATTGGATTTCGTCAAATCGAGGGAAAAAAAGCGTTCACAATTCGTGGATTTGCGTGAAAGCGAAATGTGAACCTAACGTTTGTAAATCGAGGGATGCCTCTTGTCACAGATTGACCACCCTCATTTGTTACTTGCAGCGTATTATTTTCTGCAGAATTTGAAAAGTTGTCGCGAGATTCTTCAATCTCCCACCACCCACCGTGGGGCCCCAGGTGGCTAGGAGATGTTAACTACCTCCCTTGGTATGCAGGAGGTCGTGGGTTCGATCCTGACCCTGATGCCTGCTACATATCTGGGGTTTGCGTGTCTCTCTCCCCGTGGTCGCTTGGATTGGATTTGTTTCTGAGTCCTCGGGTTTTTCCCCTTCCACATTTAGCAACATGAGTTTAGGGGCCGTCCATAAATGACGTCACGCATCTGGGGGGTGGGGTCAGACATTTGTGACGATGTGTGACGAGGGGGGGGGGGAGTTTGAGAAATGTGACGTCACGTAAAAATGTGCAACGTTAAATAAATATAGACAACACGTTCTACTTAATAAAATAGACTTTCTTAATAAATGTTTTCTCCTACAACATCAGAGTGCAGCGCCACATTAAATACGCAACTACAATGACAATAGTTTACAGCCATTTGAAGCATGTTTTATTTTTGGGGGCGGGGGGCAGAGCTTTGTGACGTCATTTTTAGGGGGGGCTGACTTGTGACGTCGTGTGACGATGGGGGGGGGGGGGGTTCAAAAATCGTCCAAAATCGCGTGACGTCATTTATGGACGGCCCCTGAGATTATTTTGCCGCTATACGTTTCCACGTGATAAGCCACTTCGTTGAGCTATCATTTGTGGGCAGGTCCCCCACTGAGCTACATAGTTCAGTGGGCCTTACATGGTAAAATAAATCCAAGTTTTAGTTTAGTTAATGACTGTTCTCGTAAAGTTTAAAGTTTTACAAATAGTTAATAGCTTTATCACCTCTGTCTACCATAGTCGATCGGCAGCAGGTCGTGTGCTCGAGGTGGGGTTAAAAGTGTGGGTACGGTTTTCCGTAGGTGACCTGGTAAAATCGCCACATTATTTGTCTGTGATGTGCCTGCACGAATCAGTAGCCGATTTGGCTGCCCCCGCCGAAGGGTGATTATGATTGGCTGGTGTCTGCTGGTCACGTTGGTCCGGGTGGCAGAGATGCTTTGTCCTTGCTTTTGTCGTGCCAAAGTGTTGCCCTGGAGATGCATTAACCTCGCACTTAAAGGTCACATGACTGAAGAAGCTATTGACTGTGGTCACTATTATCAGTATTATTATCGATGATGCTATGCTATGTTTTCATCACGCCCATGCTTGCTTGTGTTATTGTTTGAACCGTAAACGTTATCACGTTACTCACCGTGTGCCTTCATTTTGCAGTAAAGGAGATGGCGGCTGCGTATTAACGATGCGTCTGCCTCAGTTAAACTCTTTATTTTATTTTTATTTCCTTTGGCTGCTGCTACGAATTTCCACTTGATGATAAGCCACTTAGTTTGGGCCATCATTTGTGGTCGCAAGGTCGCTTCTGAAAAAAATAGTTCTATAGCTCAAAGTGGGGCTTACCTGGTCAAATTAAAAAAAAAGTTTATAGTCTTTGTGCGATCCCGTGGGTCTTGTGGTCAAGTGGCTGGGTATGAAACTGATTGGGTGTGAATCTTGACTTGAAGCTTTCGTGACTGCAGGAATTCATATCCTTTGGGTCTTTAGGTCAAGTCACGTAGATAGGTTTAAAGAAAATAACAAAAAAAACTACGACGCTTCGATCACGACACGTGATCACGATCGCTTGTGTCTTTTGTTATTTTATTTCAACCCATCTACGTGACTTTACTGAAAGACCGAAAGATTATGATTGGGTGTGGCAATACAAAAGTGGGTGTGGCAATACAAAAGTGGGTGTGGCAATTACAAAAGTGGGTGTGGGAATGCAAAAGTGGGTGTGGCAATACAAAAGTGGGTGTGGCAATTACACAAGTGGGTGTGGCAATTAGAAAAGTGGGTGTGGCAATTACAAAAGTGGGTGTGGCAATTACAAAAGTGGGTGTGGCAATTCAAAAGTGGGTGTGGCAATACAAAAGTGGGTGTGGCAATACAAAAGTGGGTGTGGCAATACAAAAGTGGGTGTGGCAATACAAAAGTGGGTGTGGCAATTACAAAAGTGGGTGTGGCAATTCAAAAGTGGGTGTGGAAATACAAAAGTGGGTGTGGCAATACAAAAGTGGGTGTGGCAATACAAAAGTGGGTGTGGCAATACAAAAGTGGGTGTGGCAATACAAAAGTGGGTGTGGCAATTACAAAAGTGGGTGTGGCAATTCAAAAGTGGGTGTGGAAATACAAAAGTGGGTGTGGCAATTACAAAAGTGGGTGTGGCAATTACAAAAGTGGGTGTGGCAATACAAAAGTGGGTGTGGCAATACAAAAGTGTTTATGGTGACGTGATAGGCGGGGCTAGTGGATGAATTGGCGTGTCTGTGCAATAGTGGGCAGGGTTAGTGGCAGTGTAGCGCGCTGCGTGACGAACCAGTGTTAATACCTGGTGTAACGGTGTAGCGTAGTAAACATCGCTACCATTGGGGAGACAAAGGCGGCCGGGCGTGGTGCTGGCCACCCACCCCCGCGGGTGCTGTGCTTCTCGCTGACAGCACTCGCCCCAACAGTCTGTTAAAGCTATGGGGCCGTCCATAAATGACGTCACGCACCTGGGGGGGGAGGGGGTGACAGACATTTGTGACGATGTGTGACAAGGGGGGGGGGGGGGGTTGAGAAATGTGACGTCACACCAAAATGCGCAACTTTAAATAAATGCAGACAACACGTTCTACTTAATTAAATAGACTTTGTTAATAAATGTTTTCTACTACAACATCAGAGTGCAGCGCCACATTAAATACGCACTACAATAACAACAATAGTTTAAAGCCATTTGAAGCATGGTTTATTTTTTTTGGGGGGGGGGCAGAGCTTTGTGACGTCATATTTGAGGTGGGTGGGGTCTGGCTTTTTGTGACGTCATGTGACGATGGGGGGGGGGAGGGGTAAAAAATCGTCCAAAATCGCGTGACGTCATTTATGGACGGCACCCTATACGGAGGAATCTTGGTCTTCGGGGCTAGCGGTTGATAAGGCGTGTCTGTCTAATAGTAGGCGGGGCTAGTTGTTGTGTGGGCGTGTCTATGCAAAAGTGGGCGGTAATGCCACCTGTCTGTTGGGCTGCAGTTTGACGTCGCCGGAGGAATCTGATAGGCTTGACGTCACACGCCTGTGGCGGCACTGACGCGGGGATGTGGGCGGTGAGGAGGAGGAGCAGGAGGAGGAGGGGCGGTTAGAGTCACGTGACACACGTGACGCCGTCTTCAAGCCTCAGGCTTGCGTCCGACCCCCCCCCAAGGTAACCCGCGTCAGCAGTGAGTGCGCGTCCGCGTGGGTGGACAAGAGAGGGGCACGTGGCATGCGGCGTCATTGCGGTAACGTAGACTCGTCCCACCGTGTGTCTATCCATTGTTTTATCGGGACTCCACATCAAAGACCCGTCCGTCTGTCCATTGTTGTCTGGAGACTCGATCGGAGAGGCTCCTGCCCGTATCCAGAGAGAGAGAGAGAGATTTAACTGATGCAACATTGAGGATATCCATTCGTAGGATTAGCACGCTTGCCATGAATGTTTGTCAGACTCTTTATACAGCAGGAGGGGATCCGAAGAGCTTTGAATCTATTTTTCTCATGTCCTGTCGGAGCACGGGATCAGAACGTTACAACAATAAACAACATTACACACAGACACGATAGGGGTACAAAGTATAGGAAGGGAAAGCACAATAAGAAACAAAATTAAACTAAACTATTTAACGTCTTTGGTTCTTTCGGTAAAGTCACGTAGACTGTGTTATTTTATTTTATCAATGTATTATTTTATTCTCATTCTACGTGGTGACTTTACCGAAAGAACCAAAGAAAATGAATCCTTGCAGTCACGAAATCTTTAAATCGAAATTTAAACTATTTAAATTTTACCAGGTAAAGAGCCCACTGACCTGCCTGCTTCTTTTTCAGAAGAGACCTGGCAAAAAAAAATTCTATAGCTCCAGGAAGTGGCTTGTCTCGTGGGAATTGTATAGCTGTGGTGGTAAGATATTATCTCCCTGACGATCTATATTTGGAGTTCGCGTGTTCTCTCTCTCGCCGTGGTGGTCGCGTGGATTTTTCTCCGGGTTTTCTGGTTTTCCCCTTCACATTTCCGATCAACATCACGCGCTTGTAGAATTTGGCTCCTGTACATTTACAAGTGATCAGCCACGTGATTAGCCTCTGTGTGAGGAGTCTGTGGGTATTCTTAGTTCTTTCGGTAAAGTCACGTTGAAGGGAAACAATAAAATAATAAAATATATAAAGCAATACAAATATATTTATATATTTTATTATTTTATTGTTTCCCTTCAACGTGACTTTACCGAAAGAACTAAGAATACCCACAGACTCCTCACACAGAGGCTAATCAATACAAATATATTTATATATTTTATTATTTTATTGTTTCCCTTCAACGTGACTTTACCGAAAGAACTAAGAATATGAATTACTGCAGTCACGAAAGCTTTAAATCAAAATTTGAGTCTGTGGGTCTCTGTGTGGTGAGTCTTTGGGTTTCTGTGTGATTCATAGATGGGTATCTGTGTGAAGAGTCGATATATCTTTGCGTGGTGAGTCTATGGATCTCTGTGTGGTGAGTCTACGAGTATTTGGTTGCTGCTCTGAATTTCCACACCTGATGATGATGATGGTATAAGCCCCTTCTGTTGAGCTACAGTGAGGGAAAAAAGTATTTGATCCCCTGCTGATTTTGTACGTTTGCCAACTGACAAAGAAATGATCAGTCTATAATTTTAATGGTAGGTTTATTTGAACAGTGAGAGACAGAATAACAACAACAAAAATCCAGAAAAACGCATGTCAAAAATGTTATGAATTGATTTGCATTTTAATGAGGGAAATAAGTATTTGACCCCTCTGCAAAACATGACTTGGTACTTGGTGGCAAAACCCTTGTTGGCAATCACAGAGGTCAGACGTTTCTTGTAGTTGGCCACCAGCTTTGCACACATCTCAGGAGGGATTTTGTCCCACTCCTCTTTGCAGATCTTCTTCAAGTCATTAAGGTTTCAAGGCTGACGTTTGGCAACTCGAACCTTCAGCTCCCTCCACAGATTTTCTATGGGATTAAGGTGTGGAGACTGGCTAGGCCACTCCAGGACCTTAATGTGCTTCTTCTTGAGCCACTCATTTGTTGCCTTGGCCGTGTGTTTTGGGTCATTGTCATGCTGGAATACCCATCTACGACCCATTTTCTGCCCTGGCTGAGGGAAGGAGGTTCTCACCCAAGATTTGACGGTAGATGGCCCCGTCCATCGTCCCTTTGATGCGGTGAAGTTGTCCTATCCCCTTAGCAGAAAAACATCCCCAAAGCATAATGATTCCACCTCCATGTTTGACGGTGGGGATGGTGTTCTTGGGGTCATAGGCAGCATTCCTCCTCCTCCAAACACGACGAGTTGAGTTGATGCCAAAGAGCTCCATTTTGGTCTCATCTGACCACAACACTTTCACCCAGTTGTCCTCTGAATCATTCAGATGTTCAGTGGCAAACTTCAGACGGGCATGTATATATGCTTTCTTGAGCAGGGGGACCTTGCGGGCGCTGCAGGATTTCAGTCCTTCACGGCGTAGTGTGTTACCAATTGTTTTATTGGTGACTATGATCGCAGCTGCCTTGAGATCATTGACAAGATCCTCCCGTGTAGTTCTGGGTTGATTCCTCACCGTTTTCATGATCATTGCAACTCCACGAGGTGAGATCTTGCATCGAGCCCCAGGCCGAGGGAGATTGACAGTTCTTTTGTGTTTCTTTCATTTGCGAATAATCGCACCAACTGTTGTCACCTTCTCACCAAGCTGCTTGGCAATGGTCTTGTAGCCCATTCCAGGCTTGTGTAGGTCTACAATCTTGTCTCTGACATCCTTGGAGAGCTCTTTGGTCTTGGCCATGGTGGAGAGTTTGGAATCTGATTGATTGCTTCTGTGGACAGGTGTCTTTTATACAGGTAACGAGCTGAGATTAGGAGCACTCCCTTTAAGAGTGTGCTCCTAATCTCATCTCGTTACCTGTATAAAAGACACCTGGGAGCCAGAAGTCTTTCTGATTGAGAGGGGGTCAAATGCTTATTTCTCTCACTAAAATGCAAATCAATTTATAACATTTTTGACATGCGTTTTGGGGGATTTTTTGTTGTTGTTATTCTGTCTCTCACTGTTCAAATAATCCTACCATTAAAATTATAGACTGATCATTTCTTTGTCAGTGGGAAAACGTACAAAATCAGCAGGGGATCAAATACTTTTTTCCCTCACTGTATATACCAGCTCAGTGGGACCTTACACTTGGTAAAATAAAAGATTTAGTTGCAATCGATTTTTTTTATAGACCCTCTAACCTCCTTTCCTTTTTACCGCCAGTCTGTATCTGTTGGGGTACCCCCCTCACCCCAAAAGGCCCTATTCCATTTTTCGTGCCATACCCAGCACCCTTATTTAATTAATTATCTGGGCACAGTCTAGTAAACCCCCCAAAAATCCTGGCCGTGTCTCCGCACACACTCTACAATAATAATAATTAATAGACCACATGCTATTTGTAGCCTTGCCACATTCTTCCCGACCTGTGGAATCCAGCCACGAACCAGACCACCCACCCGCCGCCCTGATAAATGTCATCGCGAGGGTGCCATCGCGCGGAAGGGGGCAAGTGGGTGCGGGAGGGGGGTGGGGGGGTATTTAGCAAACTGAACCTCACACAGACGGAGATCATACAAACACCACTCAATCATTAGGACGGGGAGATCATACAAACACCACTCAATCATTAGGACGGGGAGATCATACAAACACCACTCAATCTGTAGGACAGACAGAGATCATACAAACACCACTCAATGATTAGGACGGGGAGATCATACAAACACCACTCAATCTGTAGGACAGACAGATCACACAAACACCACTCAATCTGCAGGACAGATGGAGATCATACAAACACCACTCAATCATTAGGACGGGGAGATCATACAAACACCACTCAATCTGTAGGACAGACAGAGATCATACAAACACCACTCAATCATTAGGACGGGGAGATCATACAAACACCACTCAATCATTAGGACGGGGAGATCATACAAACACCACTCAATCTGTTGGACAGACAGAGATCATACAAACACCACTCAATGATTAGGACGGGGAGATCATACAAACACCACTCAATCTGTAGGACAGACAGAGATCATACAAACACCACTCAATCTGCAGGACAGACGGAGATCATACAAACACCACTCAATCATTAGGACGGGGAGATCATACAAACACCACTCAATCTGTAGGACAGACAGATCACACAAACACCACTCAATCTGCAGGACAGATGGAGATCATACAAACATCACTCAATTATTAGGACGGGGAGCTCATACAAACACCACTCAATCTGTAGGACAGACAGAGATCATACAAACACCACTCAATCATTAGGACGGGGAGATCATACAAACACCACTCAATCATTAGGACGGGGAGATCATACAAACACCACTCAATCTGTAGGACAGACAGAGATCATACAAACACCACTCAATGATTAGGACGGGGAGATCATACAAACACCACTCAATCTGTAGGACAGACAGAGATCATACAAACACCACTCAATCTGCAGGACAGACGGAGATCATACAAACACCACTCAATCATTAGGACGGGGAGATCATACAAACACCACTCAATCTGTAGGACAGACAGAGATCACACAAACACCACTCAATCTGCAGGACAGATGGAGATCATACAAACACCACTCAATATGTAGGACAGGGGGAGATCATACAAACACCACTCACTCTTACATTGGATTTTAGAAATTTTCGCCCATTTATCCCTACAGAACTCCTTCAGCTCAGTGACATTTGAAGGTTGCCTTGCATGTGTAAGGTGTTAACCACGCACCGTTCGGTAACCTGCATTGCCACCAGGTATCAAAGGGGCAGTGCAGCGTTACCTCGGTGTGCATAACGGCTGGGGTCAGACGAGGTGAAGTGGATCGTAGCCACAGTTTGGCGAGAACCAATCAGCCAGTTCCACGTGGGAATGTGTCATTGGTTGTACCTGGCCACGAACGAGTATAAGAAGGGTGACCACGCAGAGCTCGGGGAGTTCTCTGCCTACACGAAGACCGAAGCCCGGGCTGAAGACTAGCTAGGACCCTGGACCCAGCCTTCCAGCCCTTCTGAGGGCTAAGGCTCGGCGTATCCAGCGGTCAGGACCCACCGGGCCAGCGGTGGGTCAGATAGCCTCCCCTAGGTCCCAGCCGGAGGAGTCTGGGATAGGGTAGCGGTAGACGTGCAAGTCCCGCCAAGCT